AGCCAATGGAAAAACTAGAAGTGTCATTTATGAGCTGTCCTAATTCTGCAACATTTGTGACTTCCAAACAGCAGTTACAAACTTTGGGAACTGGAGATTGTCTTCTGCCCGATACCACTCTGTTACTGGACTGTACTTGCTTCAAAGCCCTGTGTGAGAAAACCAGCATCGTAATTGCTTGCAGTGAACCCCATCCCCTTGTTGGGGGTTGAGAAGGGCCTGGATAATAAAGCAAGCAAACTGTGATCAATTACCTATGGAAACTGAAATGACACTTCTCCAAAGCCCTCTGTCTGGAAAGAAGGTGAAGAACCTTCCCTCGTTCATCCCTCGACATGAGTAGTCTCAGAACAACCAGTACATATTAGCCCTTAATACCTGATCATCCATTCATATAATGTGGAAAAGAAACTATCTTGGTTTTTATCTTTTACCATTTATAGAATCCTCAGCCAAATAGCTGGACCACCAAGAATGGTACAAAAACTTTGATCAGGAGATCTATTCATAAAGACTGAAAACAGTCAACATAGTAAAAAGCTCCAAGAAATAACCAATTTTGCAGGAATACCAGTTACAATAATTCCATATGGATATCTAAATTACTCCAGAGGAGTAATATCAGCTGAGTGCCCAACTGAGGAATTTTAGACAACCTGGCAGGCCAGGGAATTTGTGGTCAGAAGAATTAACCAAACATGAAATGGGGAAGTGATTTCCTACATGGCATTTAATAATAACCTTCAACACTCCTAATTTTTCTCTTGCTTCTTTCATGATTTGTAAACCAAAAACTTTTTGATGCAATATTCTATAATATGCCAAATTTCAATTATCTAGAATTGCAATGATTAAATTAACAAAGCAAGTATTTGTAATATAATTTATTTATACTGTATTTTGAATCACCACATTTAGCAATTCTTCTTTAGTGCAACCTGTTGTTATAACTCTAACCTTCTTGTGGATATCAAAAAGCATACCTAAATTGTAGAGTTTGGCCATGTATCCAAACCTGTTCAGATGTTATAACTGCCAGGCATCTGAACACACCAAATACAACTGTCAGAAGAAAACAAGACATCCAAACTGGGGAACAACCACATGAAAGTAGAAGAAAACTGCCATTTAAAACTAGTTAAATTAGAATTAAAAACACTAAACCTATAAACCAGCAAATTTTTATAACAAATGCAAATGTTTTCACCCATGTTTTGCTTGATGATGCCTGTTCAACAAGGGCAAACACATTTGCACTTGTTATAAAAATGTACTGGTTTATAGGTTTAGTGTTTTTAACATATGAAAGTAGCTGTTCAAACCCATCATTTTGTGTAAATTGTGGGGAAATCATACCACAAGGTGCCCAAAATAGACAGCAGAAAAGAAATCCAGCACATATGAGTGATAGAACAAACTACTTATGTAGAAGTAAAGTGGAGATATATGCATATATATCCTACTAAACCCATATATGCCAATAAACTTGTGCAAAAAATTTCACAGAAGTTTAAACAGAAATTAGCATATCTCTAGTGAAATATACCGAAACCTTACAGAGGAACCAACAAAAATCACATCCACTTTATAGATAACAAAATTGACTTGTCCCAGCAACAAAACTGAAAACACTGAACAAAAAAGTCTGTTTTACCATTCCACCCAACTTCTCTAAAATTGAAAAACAAAACTCCTAACCAGAACAGCAAATAAACAACAATCGCAAAACGGCATAAAATATGTCTCAAAGAGACAAAAACACTAAATAAATCTACCCAGCAAGGAACGGTATCTTTACAACTCACTTCACTGCTCTGAATATGCTCATGGTAATACCCTAATGAAATTGTCAAGAGATATGATATAAAACTGATGAACTGAAGGTCTTAATACAGACTTATGGTTCAGTCTATATGTGCCTACAAGAAACAAAGGCTGAACCAATTGACATCCTTAAATTTAAACACTACAGTGTCCTCCGCAAGGATTTTCATGCCACATAAAATGCTTGTTACAAGGTAGCAATTCTGGTTTCACACAAAATGCCTGACAGAAATTTCTCTGTTTACATTGCTTCAGGCTGTGGCAGTCCAAATTCATCAGGGACTAATAACAATGAGTAATATCTATCTCCTTCCAGGGGATACAGTAGAACAAACCAACTTAAAATAACTAATAAATCAACTCCCAAAACCATTTATATTGTTGGGAGACTTTAACACAGTTGAAGCTTGGATAAAAACTACAGAGAATAAATTATCAAAATGCTTCTGGACACACACACTGAACAACACAGGCATCACTAATCATTTTCACTATCCAAACACACCTATTTGGCTATCAACCTCACTATTAGCACACCAGAGATGTTTGCAAATTGTCCTTCCAAATCTCAGAGGCAATGACCACTTTCCTATAATCATCTGCCATATAAAGAATTAACCATAGAAAACATAGCTCCCGGGTGGATAATCCAAAGACCTGTTGGCACAAATTTACCAAGCTTGCTAACTTCACAATAACTACAGGCAGGAGCCAATCATCAGACTAAGAAATACAAAATGTCAGAGACAATTCTGCAAAACTATACACCATAAAACCAGAGTTAATAAAATGGACAATGGAACTAGCCAATGGAAAAACTGGATAAGATGAAATAGTACTTGCCTGACTAAGAACTGGACACACATGACTAGTACATAACTATCTAATAACAAGGGATACCCAACTCATATGCTCAACTTGCCACACTCCACTTACAATCCAACATATATTACTAATGGCCAAAATGGCTCTGTACAAAATGGCCAGAGAATGCTACCTTCGACAACAGATATCTTCAGATGACCAAGCTCTACAGAATGTACTAGATGATAATGAACAAATTCATCTACAGTGGTATATCTGAAGACAATAAACTTATACAGAACTGTAGGACATAAAACAGAACAATTATGACAGAAAAAGACACAAGTGAGCATAACAGCAACTAGACATGGTACTTTTTGGCCTGCTGATCGGGTGATGGGCCAGTACAAATGGTTCAATAAGGATAGTTCAAATGAAAAGTTATAATGTGCATTTGGTGGAATTTGGATGGACCGATGCATCGGGAGTTGGTTCCTACTGGCCAGGGCCACAGACAGGAACCTCTATGCTGAGCAACTGGAACAAGTGTTTGAAGTCCTATGCACTGACTATTCAGCATTGCTTAATCAAAAGAGTACACTGCTGTAGCACAGTAGCACTTTGGTACATTGTTTTTCAAGAAAAGTTAGAAGAGTTGGAGGGGATCAAAGTTTTGACTTGCCTAACACACTCTTGACCTTTCTTCATCACATTTTCACCTCTTCTGGCTGTTGGCACATTTTTTGCAAGGACATTCCTTTAATACAGAGCTTGATATCAAAAATGGAATAATTTTCCTACCAGTTAAAGAGCAAGCCAGTGATTTTAAATCATGATGCCAGGAACTATAGTGATGAGTAACATCATAATACTTCCATGAATAAAGATGATAACACTTATTGTAATTTTTCTACTTTTAGTAATACACACAACTTTATATTGATAAAGAAGCAGGGGCATCACAAGAAAAAAATTACCAAATTGGGGTACCACTATTACAGGAGTGGCAAACCTATGGCATATGTGCCCAAAGTGGCACATGAGAAATCATCTCACGTAACATATCATGCAATTTCAATTCATCATCTGTATTTTTCAATTATCCTTTTGGTTTGGTTTACCACCTAATCATTCTTTTTTTTTCAATCAGTTTCTTTACATTCATTCTAATTAAAGCATGTTTATTTAATTTCTTTAAATATTGTTATTCAAACTCTAAAACTTTGGCATACATAAACATCTTTAAAGCTAAGTATGCTTACTATATGGCATACGGGCTAAAAAAAGTTTGCCACCCCTGCACTATTAGAAAAATGTTGAAAAACACTAAAATAAGTAGTAAATGATAATTGCTGTTAATGATATTATTGTTTTTATACATTCTCAGGTGCATTGGTCTCTATAACAGCCAATGCTTTTAGAATAAGAGTGAATCACTTCACTCTTATTCTCTATTTTCTATAAAGAAGTAATATATGATTAAAATAATTTTATAAGAGGAGCATTACTAGGAGAGGAATTACTGAAAACTTCATATTAGCTTTCAAGATAAAATTACGAGTGTATGATATCATTGTATATTAATTGATGCACAGAAAAGGAATGGGAGGAGGACTAAAGGTAAAGTGTATATAGAAGTTGTCATTGTTACTTTTGAGATGAACTATGTTAACATGAATATATCTGAGATGCATGAATGTTTTTAAAGATATTCTTTGTAAGTTTGAAACAGAGTAAAGCTGGTTGGGCAAGTTTGTAACTGCAAACTAAAGTCTGTAGATAACACACATCATTTCAACCCACATTTACTTTCAAATTAACTTTTAAATACAGGTAACTTGTAGATTACCTGCACAAAATAATTGTACTATCTATAATTATTATTTTATTTGGCAGGAATTTGTTTTATAAACTTAAAATTGTATGTATTTCTATGGGAAAAGTCTGTAATTTTGATGAAAAGTACACGACCAAGTTTTTATTTGTAAGACAGATGTATATGAAAAAAATTACTAATGAATTTTAAGATATTAAAGAGAAAGTGCAGAAAAAACATCATAAAGAATTGATAATTTTTATTTGAGGAAATACATAATTTGATATGTTATTGTGTCATTAGTCTTTTATAAGAATTAATTGATGAATGGAACATATAAAAATTAACATTATAAATGATCTTTCTGAATACTCAAACAATTTTAGTTTTGTTAATTAAAGTAAACATTTAAAATGAATTAATTTCTATTTATTTTTTTCCAGATCAGAAATTGTTTGCAGAGTTAAATATTGTAATACATTACCTGATATTCCATTTGATCCAAAATTTATAACGTATCCTTTCGAATCTAATAGGTATGTAATTTTACATAATAATTATTTATAAGGATTTTGAGATAATTCAAAATGAATGAATATAAATAAATTAAGAAAATAGAAACTATTTTTAATAAACATCCTTAAATCTATTCACGTTTCCAAGTGCAAATATTTCAAAATAAGTTATTTGCAATTATTTGTTAATTGGAAATATCAAATACTGCACAAGATTTACTTACTGGAATATAATGATTTTAGATTTCATAAATTCTAATAGATACACAAGTTTAAAAATAAGACATGCAGAAAAACACAAACTTAATCAGTTTAGAATAATAATGTTAAAATAAAACATATGTGCATGTGCTTAAATTGTTTTATATACTGTATACATTGCACTGTTTTATATAATTATAGATTCGTCCAATATAAACCAACTTCTCTTGAAAGAAATTATAAACATGATCTTCTTACTGAACATGACTTAGGTGTTACAATAGATTTAATAAATCCTAATACCTATACTATTGACCCAAATGGTAAATAAATTTAATTATTTCTGTGTATTTATTATAATTCAAAAGATGAAAAAGTTTTTAGAAATAAATCTATTTGTTATTGTAATTATTAATGTTAATGATAATTTATAATTAAATTAGAATTAATGCTTCATCCTGAAGATGAAAAATTACTGGAAGAAGAAAGTCTTGCACCTCAAGATTCTAAAAGGTTAGTCTTTTTTTTTTTTTATAGAGTTTCACATTTATTGAAAATTATAGTTTGTATACTTGTATAGGGATTTTTTAAGTAATTATTAAAAGTTATTAAATAATGTTTTTTAAACTATTTTACAGATCACGTCATCATAATAAAATTGTTCCTTGGTTGAAAAAAACTGAATATATTTCAACAGAATTTAACAGATATGGACATAGCAGCGAAAAAACAGAAACAAAGTAATAAATAAAATTATACTTTGTATGATAAATTTATTTCACATTATGTAATATATTTATTATATTTTAGGTAACTGAATTATAAGGAAAATGTTTTTATTTAACATAAAATATTAATTTATCACTTTCATTCTAAATTTGAAATATGGATAACTTTCATATAATATAGTAGTTAGATTCTTATAAAATCTTGTGTAGTAGAAAATTATGTTATGCAGTGTGTGATCGATTGACGAACAAATCAGATAATGAACACTTCTGTGAAAGATTTTTATGATCGGACAACGAACACTTCACTGAACAAACATAAAAAGAAGCAATGAAAATAGCAAATACCGATTGATTTTCCCTTGTCTTCAGGTAACAATTTGAAGCTTTTCAGAGTGCTGGAGACATTGACATTGACACTCAACCCAGAATATACTCATCAGATAGTATTCCTCTGAACTTTGAAACTCTCCCTTGTAATTCCAGCCTTTTATTTTTCTGACAGAAACAATTCTTTTATAGTATTTGCGAGACTGTCGGGCGGGCATTCGTTTCGTTTTGTGTCGAAAGGTAAAATAGCAAAAGTAGAGAGTGGGCAGAAGATGCCTGATGTTGCTGGGCAGTATGGCTTGAACAGGTCCACAGTATGCCTCAGTTCAATCTTATCTAAGAAAGATACAGTATAATCAAGAAGACTCAAGCAGCTAAAGGAGTAACAAAAATCACTTCTGAGAAATAGAGAACATTGAAGAGCTTATATATAATAGAACCTGAAATGGATCTGACAACAGAAGAATGCCAAGAACTCTTGAACGAAGAACACCAAGAAACTCAGCGAGATATGTTTTATTATGAAAAAGAGAATTAATGTCAATATCTGCTATTAATTAAAGATCTTTTGAAGTGGGGGATGTCAGAACAACAGTCTTAGAATGGCATACAAACCAGGTTGAGGTTAATAGGCTTGGGATCTCTACAGTTACAATGCTATTAATTACTTATGAAAATCCTGAAGAAGAGAGAAAAGCAATTGACATTAGACAGATTCTTTAACCCCACAAACAAAAAGACATAACTAATAAAAATGCAAGACTGCGTATATATGTATTTTTATTATTACATATAAATGAACGTAGTAAGAAAGTATATATTTTTTATTTTTGGGGGTTTCCAGAATGAATTAATCAAATTCCCATACAAACATATGATAAATTGATAATTGGTTAATGAACAATTCAGATAGCAAACAAAGTCTTGAAATGGATTATGTTCATTAACCAATTACCCACTGTAAAAACCAACACAAAAAAAGGAGATTGTTTTTCTAAAAGCTTACAAAAATACATGATTTAATTTTCATTAAAAGTATTAATCCCTTAAATGTGACACATATGTCAGATAATTTACATTTTACTAAATTTTCTTCAGACAAGAACATTTTTCTTTTTAAAGGATATCTTCAATGGATATATAAAAAAATCTTAATTCAGTAGTTTTAATAGCGCAGAATAACTGAGATTTTCTAACAAAATATAATATAGAATTTTTTACATAATAGCAAATAAACAGGAAGAATTCATAAAAAATAATAGGAATGTTGAAAAATGATATCCAAAATTAGTAGCAGGATTTTTCCCAGCATGAAAGCTCAAAAATATTATTATGTGAGGATTGCCACAAGTCTTCACTATGTTAGTGATACCATGTTGTATACAGGTAGCCTGTATAATTTTTATATTGAATATAATTTGAGATTAAAATGATTTTTTTCTTGATTTATAGTTTTATTTACAACAGGATAATTTTTAAATTTTAGATAAACTATTTAAATTCATAGTTAATTGCTACTACTAATCAAAAAGTTAACTTGTCTCATTTACATGTTTATTTTAGAGATATTATTGTATTTATTTGGAAAGTTGAAATTTTATAAATCTACAAAAATAAATAATAAAAATCACTCATTATCAGAAATTTATGTTGAAGGCATAAAAACTTAGTAAAATGATGCAAACATTGTATAATTCCTGTTTTCCCCCTTCCTTCCTTGTTTACAGGTAGAAATTTATTTTGATTATTTTCACATTAATGTAATAATGTACTAAACTGGGTACAGTTTCTGTCTATAGTTAATTTTTTAATAGAACTTTCTAGTTTATAGGATAATTTTTCCAAATTACTATTCTAGATACAGAATGTTTATTGTAGTTTGATCTTATCTGTAATAATTTGAATTGTGAACTATAATTGGTGAAGATGTTAAATTTTCACATCTACTCTAATTATATATTGCATGTTAAATTTTTTATAAGAAAAATTAGATAATTATATAGTTTGTCTGGGAAGTGCATCACCCCCTTTTTTTATTATTGTAAATGAGATATCAAGACATTTTATGTCAGAATGCACCTTGTACTTGTACAGAGCATCAGTATGAGCTCCATCATTGTCATAGCTTAGTCTGATATGGCACCAAGTTCAGCAAGATGTTTTTCTTGGATAATCTGGTGTAAAAAGATAAAATGCTCTTATCATTGCATTTTTCAACTTTGTTTTGAATGCTGTTTACATGCTTTTTCCTTGAAAAGCCCACAAAATGTTGTCTGGCATTGTAAGGTCAGAACTCTGGTGACCATGGGAGAGAGAATGCCCATAGATCTGAATGTGACCACAGGGTCAGCACCTCCTTGGCACCTTGTCAGGACTGACACCACCGTGTCTGCTGGACGTGGAAATCTCAATGGTTGTTACGTTATTTATCATGCGAGTGTTTGTGGATTTCCAGACTCTGAATGGAGGCAGATGGAAACGATCGGAAGAAGTACACTCCACAAATTAACATTTAACAAAAATACCCTTTTATTGATAGATATTATTTACAAGTTCTACGAGATAGTGTTTACAAGTTTATGATCATTTCAGAAGCTTAGCACAGTGGCTGAAAAGTATTTTAGACACTTAGCACAATGGTTAAAGGGAGAGGGATAGAGAGAGATAAACTTAACGCAACCCTGACTGAGAGAGAGAGCTCACAGTAAGTTCACGAGATAATAAATACCTTAAAATACTCGTGAGTCCTAATCGTATCAATGTACAAATCGAGGAAAGGTCGGCAACTCAGTTCAGAGGGTAATCCTTTTTTCCACAGCTTCTTGGGTGGCGGCGAGTGGCGATGGCTAAAACAGCAGTTTGGAACACACACACTTAGGAAAAAGGGTTGATGATGACTGCTGCGGCTTGTTATCATCCTCTCCTTTTTAATTAGGGGCTCCTCCTGGGTTTTTCCCATGGCTTTGTTAGGAGGTTTAGTACATCGGGGCCAATAGTCACATTTTCACTCGTTGATTCCAGGTGACACATTCAACGTGTCATCTTCAACAAGGAAATAAGTCCGTGGGAAACAGTTTAATTATCCTTGATGATTTTAGCAAAACAACTTTAACTAAAAAGTAAATTGAACGAAAATTTCTTCAACAAATTTGGCTCTCACATGAAGCATCTCCAGCATATCCCTTTAGGAACAGTTTGTTCAAGTATCTGCAGCTTTCTCAAGGAGGAAGTCAGTCAGCAGCTCTACCACACAACCAAAGAGTTGAAGAATTTGGTGACAGGATTTTCTCTTCTCACACCGAATTATCTACAAACACATCTTAACAATCTTAAGAAACATCACAGACTACTGTAATCACAAATGAGCTCATATTTATGTTCTAGACAAGTATAATGTATGTTCTGATATATATCACTATCTCATTTACAAGAATAAAAAACTAGGTGAATGTCTTTCCAGACACTCTGTATAGTTTATTTTAATCTAAAGATCTAAAAAATAAAATTTTGAAAATTTGATATTATGCAATAAGTATGATGTATTGACTAGGAAATGCATTACATTATTATTTTTATAATTTTGACATGTGATTTAATATCAAAATATTAATTAATTATTTTTCTTTTTAACATAGAGTTGGTTATAATGTTAAAAAACTTTTCAAAGAGGAAAATTTATATATGGATCGTGAAAGTCAAATTCGTGCTATTAATAAGACATTTGAAGATGCCCAAAAACCAGTAAGAATCTGAATTTACTCTGTATTAAATATACATTTAAAAACTGCAAAGATAAAATTCAACTTATGAATTATCATAAGTTGAATTTTATCTTTGCAGTTTTTAATTTTAATTATCATGATCAATATCGCTTATTGATGATGATTATTCTTAAAGCAATATAATATTTTGAATAATTTATATAAAAGCAAAATTTGCATACTATTTTTTATTAATTTTTATTTAAGTATTTGGAGTATTTATCATCATTTTGTTTTTATAGATAGAAAAGCATTACACTAAACCAGGTGTCGTACCTTTAGAAATATTACCTGTATTTCCTGATTTTGAGGTGTGTATTAAATTTTTTGATTAATTTAAAGATCAAATTATTTTTATAAATAATTTTGCATTTTTAAATTTGTAATATCAAAAGTTATGAAAAACAAACTTAAAGATGATTTGCCATAAGCATGTATAATATGATATTACATTTTATATTGGATAGGATATATGAATTAGTAATATAATTCTTATTGGATTGTGTTTATTGTAACTTTTAATAGGTATTAGTTTTAATATTAATGCATTCTTATTATTGAATAAATTTTCTCTATATCTAATTTTATAATAATGTCTTTTTTTTAATTTTCCATTTTTACATCTAAATATAAATGGGCAAATTGCCTAGAATTTTTTTAATTGATATATTGCAGAATTTTTTGAAACACGCTCTGTTAATTTTCTAAACTTGTTAAAAATAGTGATATTTATACATGCTAGGTAATTGCTTAGGAATGTTCTTTCTTATTATTCAATTTGTCTTTATTGAACTGCAATTTGAAAAATTGTTCTATAAATTCCCACTGTTGTCCATCTGTTCGACTTTCCTTAACCTGTCCTGCGTTGTTCCTGAAAATTTTCGTGTTGACCTCATTGATCCCAAAAATATTTGTTTCTGCATCAGAACATTTTTTAAACATTAGATGTCGCTACTTATATGGAGTTCCGAAATAAGTGACTCATATCAGAAGAATCGTTATATTATCTAGTTTTTGCATAGCAGGATATTGAAATTCTAGGAATAGTTCTTTATTAGAAATCGCAAAGGAAATTAGACCGTTAGTTTGTCTCTGTTTCAACATGGCAACGAGTAGTAGATATAGCACTCTAAACAAGTCAGAAGTGATCGAATATTTATTTAATTTAGGTTCTGATGAATCTGAATTTTCAGACAGCAACGGCAATTACATACCAGATCAAAATGTAAGTGATGACAGTGGTGATTTTGATCCTGAAATACCATCCACAAGTGGATATAGAGGCAGATCAAGCGGTAGTACTCAAAGTAATAGTGCTAAACGTCCACGATTTAGTAGTGACGATGGATGGATTCGAACAAACTTCATAAGCCCTCAAGTGAAGATATACATAAGCCCTCAAGTGAAGAAGACCAGCAGGAATACGATGTAACTTACAGAGTGATGCTACACCGTTCAAGTGTTTTAGTATATTTTTTGATGATGAACTTGTCGACAAGATTGTTTCACAAACAATTATGGTAATAGTTTGCTGAACTGTGACAATTTACGAGAGAATAGTATAAAAAACTGGAAACCAACAACAAATCCAGAAATAAGAGAATTTCTAGGACTTACAATGGTCACAAATATCATTTAGAAAACCATGCCTAAGCATGTATTTTACAATTGAAAATGTTTCTTCGACACCATTTTTTTGAGTGCGATGTCGAGCAATCGCTTTCAACTTTTATTGTTTCCTCTGCATTTTATGGACAATAATCAAGCTTCGTGTGGTGATAATCGACTGCATAAATTATGCAGTATTATTGATCATTTATGCCACAGGTTCAAAAATATATTTTCCTCTGGGATGTATATCTGTGTAGGTGAAAGTCTTGTGCTATGGAAGGGAGATTGGGATTTAGACAATATGTACCAAACAAGCATGCTCATTTTGGAGTGAAAAGCTTCAAAATTTGTGAATCACGAACAGGATATGTTTGTGACTTTATAGTTTACACTGGAGCTACTACTGAATATGGAAATTTTGAAGGTGGGTAAGATGAGAAGGTTGTGCTAACCTTATTAGAACCGTTGTTTGGTAAAAATCACAAGTTTTTTTAGATAGGTTTTTCACCTCGCCGACCTTAGGTTTGTTTCTCCAGAAGCATTTCTGCTATGTATTTGGAACGGTAAACAAAAATCAGATAGGAATGCCATGCAATTTTCCTGGCAGTAAATTGAAAGAAGGGGAATTTGTAACCTGTCAGAAAGATGAATTGTCTGTGTTCTGTTGGAAAGATAAAAGAGATGTTGCAATTCTAAGTACGATGAGTGACAACAAATTTTCTGATTCAGGTAAATGTAGGAAGAAGTAATAATGAAGGAGAAGTAATAATGAAACCTAATTGTATTTTAGATTATAATTGTAATATGGATGGTATCTATCTCTGTGACAGAGTACTACACAATTATCCATTCATGAGAAAAACAGTAAAATGGTAAAAAAAAAGTGTTTTTTCATATGATGGATATTACACTGTATAAAGCTTGTGTTTTATATTGACAACATACAAAAAAACAAATATCATTTTTTGATTTTTGATTTTGATGTCTGTTATCATAGAAGTGATAAAGAAGTATCACACAAGCAGACATCTAGCTTGCCGCAGTCGACCGTCACATGAAAATCTGTTACGTTTATCTGAACGGCATTTTCCCAGTTTTATACCACCAACAGAAAAAAAAGAAACATCCATCCAGAATATGTAAAGTATGTTCAGCGAACAAAAAGCATGCAGAATCACGTTATCAGTGTGTGCAGTGTAATGTTCCACTAGGTGTTGTTTCTTGTTTTGACATATATCTCACTAAAATTAACTTCTGAAATAAATTTTTTTGTTTTTTACATTCCCTAATATGTCTATTTTGTATATGAAAAATATAAAGTAATTTAGAATGATACAATAGCCACAATTATTATTTTTCTAAAATGTGTGATTGTGTTAGGCTTAACATTGAAAAACTTCAGCGTGGAGCGACACGTGACGGAGAAAATATTCAACATCAAAATAGGTTAATCTTGAAAATGGAATTAGATAAATGAAAGACGAGACTGGATATTTATGAAAACCTTAGGAGCAGGAGGCCCTGATTAAATATGTACAAGCTTCTGATGCAAACTGGAAGTCATGTTATTTCAATTCAAAAATTTTCCCCTGAAAGGTGTTAGATGACTGGCACAACTCTATTGTTAAAGGAAAAGTATGATGTACAGGGACAAGTCAATACTAATTTCAGATGGAGAGCATATAATTTAAATTAAATAAATTAAAAATATGATTAAAAATTGTAGCCCAGTAATGTCCTTCTTACACTATTTTATTAATAGTAGACTTTTTTAATGGATATCAATGAACATTTGCTTTTAAATAGTTATTGAATATTAATTATTATTTTTTAAGAAACGTAAATTAATAGGCAACAGTAAGATAAAATAGTACCTTCATTATGTATACAAATTATAATTTTATTATTTTATTTCTATATTAGATGTTATATATATACACACAGGATTCCTACACACCTGGAAAGTTGGGGATTTTCATTAGTGTTTAGAAAATCTCATGGAAAGTCAGGAAATTTGCCTCCTTGGCTGCCTTGTTTGAGTTTTTTGCTGACAGTATGCTTGATTAAGTGTAGCCATCTGCAGGCAGCAAGAAGTAATGTGGTGCAATACAACTTACAAAAAGAGGTGCAGAATATTGTCAGGACAAATTTTACCAAAACTACTCATACACAATTTTCTCAAAAGTTCACAAATTACAAAAAATGATAAATAATTTAAATAGTATTTATTTCTGATTTTTTTCCAGTTTATTAGTATTTTATGAAGTTCAGGAAATTTATTAAGGGATGCATTTAATGAATATATACTTTTGTATATAACTGGATTTGTTAATGAATAATAAATAAATAATTGCTTTTTTCTGTTTTTCAAAGCCATGTAGATTTATATTTATGAATTAATAACAGAGTAAACTACTTTAATTTAATAAAGCATTTTATTTTTAGTTTTAATAATTTGTCAATTGTAAAAAAATATATAACTATTTAATTAGAAAAAATAACTAATTAAAAAGTCGGAGAAGCAATAGTGTATATATGCATAGTAAGTCAAATACTGTTTTATTTTATCAATGTGCCATACTGTAAGGGATGTGAGTGTCAGGAAATTTGTACAAAGTTGGTCAGGGAAAGTCATAGAATTTAAAACAAAAATTTGAGTAGGAACCCTGTATAACCCTGTATTTATATTATTTATTATTTTGTTTTATAATTCAATTTAATAATTGATGCTTACAGCTTTGGAAATATCCATTTGCTCAAGTAATGTTTGATACAGCACCAGCTCCAATGACTCAAATAGAAGAAATGTCACAGGCTATGATCAGTCACAAATATCATTTAGAAAACCATGCCTAAGCATGTNCTCAAATAGAAGAAATGTCACAGGCTATGATCAGGTATTATCAAAATTTTATAATTCTAAAATAATTTATATATATTAATATATATATAATTATATTTTTATATTTTAGAGGTGTAATGGATGAAAGTGGAGAACAGTTTGTAGCTTATTTCTTACCCACAGAGGAAACAATTGAAAAAAGGAAGAGAGATTCTGAAGAAGGAATGGATTATATGGATGAGGATGAGTAAGATGTTTTATTTTATATACAATTCACTAGATGAAATATTAATATAAATTTAATTTCTTATAAAGTCATTATATTTAGAAAATGAATGAAAATTTTGTATAAAAATTATCAGTATTTGTAGCAAAATTTTTTAAACAAAAATGTAAATATTTAATAGTTATATAAATGAGATATGGTGCTAGAAGTTAATCCCATTATAAGTGATTTTCTTGCCAAATAAATATGGGAGGATACTCTATGGCCTTTAAGTCTAAACTCAAACTTAGAAAGTGTCAGTTTGCATGTTCAGTCAGTCAGTACATAGACATTTTAAAGTGGGCATGATATCAGGTTTTCAGATTAATGTCCAGTTCACAAATCAAGTAATGTACTGTACAAGTTTCTTGTAAAATGAATAAAATTTGGACTAGCTTTCCAATTGTTGAAGGAGTTGTGTGGAAATATGACATGTTATGTGTTTAAATGATTGAATAGCAAAAGTAATTCAGTAAAAGCTGATAAAATGACACTGAATGTCCTGAATGACAGAGTACAGGCAAACCTCGATTTATGAGGAGGATGCATTCCATGAAGTTACTTCATTAAGCAAAACTTTGTTTTCAGATTGAAAATATTATGACCTTAAAGGATACATTCATTCCTTAAGAAAATGAAAGATATTTTTTGGGAAAAGAAAGGTTTTATTAAATAAAAAGTCAATATTACATACCAAACAAATATAAAATCACATTTCAAAATATGGACATAAAATTGATTGTTTATGCTTATTGTCTCTTTCATTTAACAATTGCCTATACCAATTTATTGCATTTAACACTGATTGCTTAATGATAACACTTCTTTGTAAATCGGGACCATTTTCACCAAAAAAATTTAAAACATTTTCAATGTCATTCAAGCACCTTTTTAAATCTTTGGTTGCTAACACTTTTTCAGTAGGAACTTTTTTAATTTCATCTTCACTTGCTTTGGTTTCATTGCTAACAAGTTTTTCCAAATCGTCCATTGAAAAACCATCATCTTTTGCATTTAATAAATTTGTTACATCCTCTTTGTCAACATTTTCAAAACCTATTGATTGAGCCATCTTGATAACATTATTTCTAATCTTTTTAATGTTATTTTCTTCTTCTAGTACAACTTCTGGCCATAATTTGCACCAAACTACATTTAAGAGTTTCTGAGTGGCATCTTCCAAGAGCTATTAATGTTTTCAATAGCATCTTTAATGGCATAGCTTTTCCAAAAACTTTTAATTGTCATTTGTTATTTATCTTCTAGTTTGATTAAACTGCATAAGGTACAATACAGATAAAATGCATTAAATGTTACTATCACTCCTTGATTCATTAGTTGAATCAGGAAAGTTGTGTTTGCTGGAAGAAAAACAACTTTGACAGGAATGCATGTGTCTAATGTATTAAGCATGTCCTGGAGCATTGTCCAACAACAACAGTGCTTTTTCTTCAAAATCATTTCTTTGGCAATATTTTTTCACTTCTGGACAAAAATGATTAACAAACCAATCAGTAAATAATTCATTGGTGATCCATACTTTTCTGTTAGCTTTCCATATTATAAGTAGATTTGTTTTTATGATACCTTTTAATGCCCTTGGATTTTCTGAATGGTAGACTAATAACAATTTTGATTTAAAATTGCTAGAGGCATTTGATCCAAAGAATAACATTAAATGGTCTTTGGCTGCTTTGAACCTAGATGCTAATTCTTCTTCAATAGAAATGAAGCTTTTTGATGGTAGCTGTTTTCCAGAACAAACTGCTTTTGTCAACATTGAACACTAAATTTGGTGAAAAATTTTTATGTTCAATTATTTCCTTTAGTTCTTCTGGAAACTTTTTCTCAGCTTCAACATCTGTACTTGTAGCTTCTCATGATAATTTTACACTATAAATTCTGGCCTGTTTTTTAAATTTCTCAAATCAACCATAAGAAGTCACAAAATTTTCCACAATTTTCTTCAGTTTGTTTAGATTTCAGGTGATTAAACAAAAATAATGCTTTTTCGTAAATCACCATTTTGATTAATGGCATATAACATTGTGACATGTCATCTATCGACAAACTTAACATTTTCCCCATTTTTCTAAAATTGAGCTCCTTAAGTGAGTTAATTTTGCTGCTGTAACATTTGTACAATTCTGAGCAGACTGTTTTATTCTTTCTGATTGACTAAGTGTTGTAGGTTTATTGTGAATTGAGTTGTTAATGTTCTATTCCTAAATAATCTGCCACATCAGATTTTCTTTCACCTCTTTCAATTGTATGATATTTAATTTTGTTTGTAAAGAAATTGATTTTTTTTTCCTTGATTCTGACATTTTAACTAAATAGGTAGAAAAACAAAATATTATGTATTAATATTTTACAAAATCTACAGTAATGTATCAGAAAACATGCTTTATTTATTGCAGTGCAGCATATTGAAACACACATTACAAACTGTAAGCAATGACAAAGCTACAACAATGATGCAAAACTGTTAAAACAGACACATTTGAAACTTGGGAGTATGTGATGAGTCACTTGTCATTAGCCGATCAGATGACTTTTGAACATAGACCTTCAAATTTTCATACTTTTATGTTAAATGGTATTTGAAACGGCAGATTTTGATATGTTGAGGCTTCATTACCAGAGGTACAGGCACACCTCAATTAACACTACATCAAAAATGGAAGAAAGTGTTGAAGGGAAAATGGGATAAATGATCAACCCATACTACTACAACCTGATTAAGCTGAAACACATGATTAGAGAAAGAAAACTAGATTTGTAGAAGGATAGGATTCTGTACCATGAAAATGCATCAGTCCATAACATACTTTGTTAAGAAGGTTTTGCCAACAAATGTATTATAGTTTTTGAACATCAATTCTGTTTATCTAATTTTAGTTATGCACAGTTTTTTCTTGAAAATGAAAAACAAAGAATAAAATCGAAATCAGTGCAGCAGATAAAAAAAGAAAACGGTCAGCTTACTGGACATGCTGACAGAAGAGTAGTTATTTTACTAAATTGCCAAACGATTGCCTAAATATTTTATATAGTTATTTTACTGCATCAAATAATGGAAGATCAAAATACAGCAGTATTTTGATGAAGAATGAAAGTATATTGAAGGAAACAAACATTAAAAATGTTGCATTTTAACTTTTTCCTTTGTCAATCTCCCATTATTGAATAGTTCCACTTTTTATAGTATAAATATTTTGTTTTCCATACATATGAAATTATATAAATTTAAATTACTTCTGGAGAAATATAAATTTATCGATTGGGCTGCAATTGAAAAAATTGTAGACTTTTATATATTCCCACTATTGTCTGTCTGTCTGTCTTTTTTTCTGTCCTTCCTTTATCTTGAGAACAGAGTTAGATAGATGAAAGATGATACCAAATATGGAAAGCTTGGGGCAGGAGCCCCCAATTAACTATATATGAACTTCTGGTTTGCACTGGAAGTCATGTTATTTCTATTAAAAAATTTTTCCCTGAAAGGAGTTAGATCATCATCACAATTCTATTGCTAGTGGGAAAATATGATGTACAGGGTCACAACACTACTAATTTGAGGTGGAGAACATATATTTTAAATTAAAAAAAATTAAAAATTGTGGCCTGGCATTGTGATGATGTCACAATAATAATTGCTCATTTTATATCTACATAAGCAAGTTTTCAGTTTTGGAATATCTTAAATTTATTTTAAAATTTCTATTAACTAAACCAGGGATTGGCAAACTACAGCCCGTGGGCCAAATCTGGACTGCAGCCTGTTTTCAATCCAGATTGCGGGTTAATATTGTATAATATTTACATGGAAAAATTGCAAGCGAATCAAATAGGGATGTGTGGCCAGTCCTATCTCTGATGGCACCTTTGTCTTAAGGGTTATATTGTTATCAAATTGCATTTGCTTTGAGTAGAAGTACCTATTAAAAAAATATAGCTATTTGAGTTTACAACATGGCCCACTGAACCTGATTTTTTTTATGATCTGGTCCTTTTCTAAAAAAGTTTGTCGACTCCTGAACTAAACTTTGAATAAGGAATCTTTCTAATTATATATAACCCACCCTCTATGCTATTGCTGTATATATTACACTGATTATAAATAGTCAACTATTTATGTACAGTACTTTCTTTAATAAATATTGATAAATAAATATTTTTAAAAAAAATTTTTAATTTTGAAAAAGAATCATCTTAAAAAGGTTTTTAAATTTGTTGATTCTTAAAATTTGAAATTTGATTTTATTGTTGTAATACAGTGTTTATTAGAATGTGATTTCGTTTCTATTTTTTGATATTGTGATTTTTGTATTAAAAGTAAAACTAAGGAATTTTTGAAATAATTTTTATTATTATAAAAATATAACTTTAAAGTATGTTTTTTTCAATTTTCAAAATATTTACTATTTAGCAATTTTATGAAAACATTATTAAAATTATTAATACTAATTAAATTAAATTTGATTATTAACAATCTGGATATATTTAATACATATTAAATTATGATTTTCTTTTTTCAGATATGAGTACAAAATGGCACGTGAATATAATTGGAATGTTAAGAATAAGGCTTCGAAGGGTTACGAAGAAAATTATTTTTTTGTATTTCGTGATGGTGCAGTATATTACGATGAATTGGAAACTAGGTTTGTTTTCTTTTAGGTCTTATTATATATTATGAGACACTGTCTGAAATAGAATTTTTATTAAATTTTTTTAAAAGATAAATAATATAAAAGTTAAATAATATCATTTCATTAAATTTTCATTGAACTCACTCATATTTTAAATGTTTTTTTTATAATCATTGATCTCTTTTTGTTATGTAATTATTTTGAATTTGTGGGATGAATAAAAACAACAAAAATTGCTGTTTGTATTCATGCCATGCAACTTTTTTCAATACCAATGGTTTAAAATTTGAAGAAGTCGAAGATATGGCTTAGAAATAGTTAAATATATGAATTTGTATGTTTTACCTATTGGTCTTGATTTATTTTAGTCAGGACACTTCTCTTAAACTTGGTGATTTCTCTGTAGTGAAGGTATATGGAAAGTAAAAAGACTCCAGTAGACTGTATGTTGCCAAAGTCTGCCAAGTTGAAGGATATAAATATGTGGGGCACTTTCTACAATACTACAGAAAAGAATTTTTGGAGATGTGTGAGAAATTTTGCTTTGTATATGTGGGTTCTTGGGAAACTATACCTCCATTAACAGCTCTTTGGTATACTTAAAAACTTGTTTTCCTGATAATGACTTTAGTGGCTTGAATAATTTTTGAAAGCTTTTCTGTTTTTATTTATGTAATCATTTTTCAGATTATCAAAGCAACTTAAGCAGTGTTTTTATAAAAACTGTTTTCTTTCAGTGTAAGTTCTAATGTGCATAATATCAGGTCTATGTAACTAACAAACAGCTTTTGGAAAGAGAGAGCATTTTCTTTCAATTCTCTAATTCTAAAATGGAATCAAACATGATCTTTAAGTTTGTAATCTTTTGATTCCTTTGTATCATGTAATAAAGTTGTTAAAGGGGATAAGACCAATTTTTTAAGACAAATTACAAGGTATATCATTTAACATTATTAGAGTTACATAATCATTTAGACAGAGAAGTGTTTCTACTCACCCCAATTTTATGGTTATAAAATGAAAATTAATGCAGAAATTTAAGCGTGAAAAACATTTAATGTAATTAATTAACGAGCAGATATAACTTGTTAATGTATATTTATTGTTTAATATCAGGGTAAGACTAAGTAAACGTCGCTTGAAACCAGGAGTACAGCCAAACAATTCCAGATTGGTAGTACATCACAGAGCATTAAATGAAGCTGAATTAAGAACTCAGGTTGTGTTTTTAGTAGTGTTGTAAATCTGATAATAAATTAATATCTTGATAATCCCTTCAAAAGAAGGATAAATAAGGTGATAATAAAGTTTCTTGTGTTTACTATTAGGAAGTACGAATGACTCAATTAGAACCACCTCAAGAAGAGGAGGAGGAGGAAGAAGAAGAAGAAGTCAGAAATGGAACAAAAGGTTACAGTCAATTTAAATTTGTTATAAAATATCTTTTTAACAATCAAGTAATCAAAAATTATTTAGCTATAAAATTTTACTGGAAATTATAACAAAATATATTCTCTCTATCACAGAAGTGTCTGAAGGTGAAAGTGATAAAGAAGACAGACAAGAAGAGGACAAACAAGAAGAAAAAGATGAAGACGAAGAAGAGAAAATGGATGTAGACGAAGACGCCGAAGAGAGAGAGAGCCAAGAAAACGAAGAGGATGAAGAAAAAGAAAATGCAGATAAAGATAAAAACTCTAAATCAGCTAGTAGTAGTAGTAGCGAGTCATCTTCATCAATGTCATCATCAAGTGAAAGCGAAAGTGAGGCCGAAGAGGAGGAGGAGGAGGAAGAAGAGGAGGAAGAGGAGGAGGAAGATCAGAAGAGGAGAGACGAAGAAGAGATCTTTGGTAGTGCAAGTGATAGTGATTGATATATCAACGACAAAGAGAAATAAATTGGATTTAAGTCTTTATAAAAAAAAAAAGTATTGTAAATAACTATTTACTATTTCTTTTTAATAAAAAAAAATATACCTTACATCAAAGTTTTATTTATTTATGTAAATATATTTAAACTGATATTAAGCAGAAAAAATTATTATATGGCAAATTGATGATTTAAAATGAATTGAAAACTGTATATGCTATATACAGAAGTAATTTCTTAAATTTAAGAAGAAAGTGGAGATTTTTATCTCAATTAATCTTGTTAATTTTTAAGTAAGATACAGAACAAACTATTAAATTAATTATAATAATCTTTTGGTTTAAGAGTTAAATTTGAAGAATACTTAGTTTTTATGGAATAGGAACTACAGAAACAAATTTTCTCCTTTGGAACAAACCCGAGTCTCTTATCATGCCTAGATTAACAATGGGATCAAAAATCTTTTTATTTAATATGATCTTTCAGCATTTCTTTACACAAACTTAGGCCCTCCTCAGACGAACAGAAACACTAAACATTTTAACTGATAAACTTTACAATACCTCCAACACAAAACAAATTAACCTGATTACGTGCAATGTCATTTATTGTATATTTAAGTGGACAAATGTGAATTTACATTTTGTCATTATGTTGGCTGGGTGTAAAGTAAGTAGGCATTGAGAAATTACTATAATTTTTGTAATAATAATGTAGTCGTAATAAAATCTGTGCATGCATGTACAAAATCAATGGCATTTTATAATTCCTGCATCTGTGTTTAGATAAGTTTCCTTTCTTCATTCCATTATGGTTGTCGAAATGCTTTGTTATAATGTACAGTACCATATCTCTTACATAATATATTTCGGTGAGATATTGATATTCGATGTAGAGTTGTAGACCATTTTGTTCACGACGCGTTTTAGGATCTTAATAGCCAATTATCTCAAACAGGACTGGCAGGCTGCCGGATCTCAACAAATCTAGCGAAACTCGAGCCAAAGGTTATTCATATAACAGGAAAGGTGGATGAGAGACCGAGAAAGTCACACTTTGAATGAGTCAGTGCTGGTTCCTGTAGGTATGCAGTACTGTAAATATAATAACCAACAGACTTCTGCCTGTCATTATTTAACTCTTTGGGGGAGAACTTTTTGAATCGTATAATTAATCGGGACATTCTGTCCTAAGCTTTCTATATTTGGTTTTGATTTTCACGTATCGAACTCAGTTCTCGAGATTAAAGGAAGGACGGACGACAGTGGAAATTTATAGGTCTACAATTTTTTTCAAATTGCATCTCAACTGAAATAGAGATTAGCACCAACGTTATTAATTTAAATATTTATATTTAAATTTTTATATACACATACGTATATATTATATTTATATACTAAACAAGTCGAAAGGCCCGTTGCAAGCATCGGGGTATACTAAATTACAAATAAAAATAATAATATACTGTAAAAATATAAAATAATTTATATTGTTAATTTAAATAATAGCTAGGGGCGCCCATAGTGGCCATTTATGGCATACCGTGACAGAAAATGCCCATTTTCAGCTTTATATAGTAGATAAGAAAAATTTCATTTTAATTTAATTAATTTGCAACTTGTATTTTATGGCGGCGCAGAAATATAACTTTGAACAAACGCTCGATTCGAATAAAATTAAAATAAATACTGTATATACAATTATTATTATTATGGATTTTTTTAAACCTATCTCAACACACTAGTAGGCTTTCAAGCGTTGGCTTAGATTTTGAATTTACTCGCGATCAGCATTGATAGGAGCACAGTGGTGTGCCGTGACATTTGATGATAGGGAAGCTGTGTTTCAGTAAGAAGCCGACTTCCAGGGGTAATCAGTTAATCGCGCGTCAGTGATGGTCTAGGATCCATTCGTATTCGTTTGTTCGATAAGCCAGTAAAAACAGTAGACTTCTCTAAATGTATTTTTAATATCACAATTACATTCCGAATCGCTAGCCACGATATAAGGGCTAAAATTAAAAATTATAAAAACTTGGTGAAATAAAATGTGTGGTGGATATACATACCTGGTACAAAATATTCTTTATTTGTATGAATATAATTTTAAAGAAAATTATAATTAAATATAGCTTTGTAAAGAAACGTACATAAAAATATAAAATATTTTTTACTTTTTAAATCTTAAAACAATTAGTCAAATAGCTCCGTAGGAGTGACTAATGGATGGAATTGGAGACGGTCCTGGTAGGTGCATGCGCGCGGGCTGCCAAATCCCGAGGGTGCCAATACTGATCAATGTCAAATGCATCTTTTGTCGCATCACTAGTGTATCTCAAAGGACGCGACAGGGTTATTATACATTTTAAACGTTTCTCGCCATAGCTGTAAAAATCTAAATATGTTAAACTTAATAGATTGTCCGTCGTTCGTTTTCTAACTAATTCGTTTTAGGATCAGGTGTTGTCCACGGAAGTTTCCAAAATTTACAACTTTTCGGTCACTCTCGTCGAAGTGGAAAAATTTTTGTGTTTATTACATCTAATATTACGAAGAAATCAGTCCCCACTGTACTCGGCTAGAAATTGGTTCGGTTAAGCTTTTGTTTAATTAAAATTCCAGTATTTTCAGAAAGGTTTTATTTATATCCCTAATTCCCTAATCTCTTAATTATTTAACTATTTCTTAAGTACGAAATAAGTCGAAACCGGTTAATTCGTACTTGAATATTTGTAGTCTCGGGAAAAAAGTGGAAAAACAAATTTTTACGACAACGGATATATAAATCGTAAATTTAAGGAAAATAAATTCTAGAGCTTTTTCTGTACCTCTTGCATCTCTCTCATCCATTAAATTTAATCGTAAATGATACTGCCAAAGTAACAGTTAATTTTTTATTCACGTAATGGGGAAGGGCAGCCAAATATCTAGCAAGGAGGCGGCTAACAGCCCAGAACCGGTCCTGGATAGAATCATTGGAAGCGTTATACGACATTTTGATGTGTAGCATCCACCAGCTAAATCGCCTGAGGTGGGCTACTTTAAACCATTCAGATACTGTACTGTATTTTCTCCATGGAAGTTGTCCCGTATTCGACAATACAGCGCTTCCATTCCGCCACTGATATTCGAATATACAATAGCAATTTTATCATTTTTTCACATGTAGTATATAAATTTGTAATAAAGATACATAATGCGGTTATAATAAAATATTAATTTTAACTAATTTAAAGTACGTTAAAATATGAAAATAATCGCGTAATATGTATTTATATTTTAGTAAATACAAGGGAAGGCACTGCTAAAATACCATATAATGTGTCTTTTACGACTCCATATCATCGCATTCACTGTCTAATAATACCATATTTGAGTTTTTGCCATAGTACATTTATTTTACTTCTCAACCCATTTTCTGCTGTAAATATGAACTTAAATAGTTGAAATTTCTGTTTTAAACTAATCTAATTCTTTCTCTTTTCTCTCTCTAACAGCCCAAATCTGAATTCCATAAACTAAATCTTCTATCGACTTTTTAATTTCCCTCTCTGTAAATCAGTTCCTAACTTCTTATGGCTCAACTTTAATTACTTTCTATCTCATTAACACAATATCAATTACGAATAACATAAACCATAACTCATTTCTCACCCCATCCTGCAATGATTCGCCTAATATTAATAAGATATGGGCTTAAACTCGATAAACTATAAAGTCTATCCTAAACCCCTAAAACTTTTATTTTCCTTGTTATCAATACTTTCCTTGTTATTCGAGTAAATTTTTTACGAAATTTCACGAAATTTACGAGACAGAAGACGTCATCGACGACAACAATTAGATTCCAGCTTTAGCGGCGATTGTTACCGAATAGACAATGCAAACGTCAATTGTTGCTGGGCGGAATACTGACGCCATTTTCGTCGCCATCGCCGGCAGTTTCCAAGAAAAATACCGAAATTTTTTCTAGTTTTAGAAGAAATAACGGAAGAAAAAGCTGAGAAATTGCAGAATAATAGAGGGAAAAGGGAAAGACAGAAACACCGTATTTTAGTAAAGGAAATAAAACTGAAATGGAATATTTGGAAGTCGACATTAGCCAACTAACAACAAATTGCTATGGAAGGAAGCCATTTTAAACGAATTCGTATAGCGTGTAAGTCACTTTATTTAATACTAACAGATGAGCCCGGCATTGCTCGAACAAAAAGTAACAATAGCAAAAATTAAATATTAGATTATAGCAGATCTTACCCGTTTTCACCGAGTGCAAGAATTAGGTCTAATTAGAAAATTTTTAGAAGGGTCTAAAAATATGTTCGATTTCCCCCATAAATGCAAAAAAAAACACATCTAAAATAGTACATAGAAACAAAACACCTTAATTTACAAGCCCGATTTACAAGCCCAAGGCTGTCTTCAGGTCAAAAAACGAAAATGAAACAGATACGTTCCATGCATAGAATACAAACATTTAAATCAAAATTTAGAACAAAAAACTTTTTTAAATTATACAAGAAAAACAGAGGAACAATTAAAATTAACAGAAAATAAATTGTCATAATTTTTCTAATAATTTTAGTCCGAGTTTTAAGTGAACTTCAAGCGTCTATTGGAGTCGTTATTTAAGACTTTTCTTTCTTTGTTCCTTTCATACGGCTTGAGTAATCCCATAATAGTGCTTTTCTTGTAAACTAGGGTCTGGGCTACTTGCAAAATTCTATCAATTTCTTTATTTCTGTCACCAAAGAAATTGATAGAATTTTGCAAGTCTATTGTATTATTTGCTGAGCACTTTTAATATTAAAACAGTACAGTAGAAGCCGAGTTCTTTGGGGTAATCCTTAACTCCCTCTGTCTCCCCCGCAGTGGGAATTTCGAAAAATCCCCTCTTAGTGTATGTTCTCATGAAGTACCTTAACTGTGTACCAAATTTCAACTTTCAACTCCTAACCGTTTGGGCTCTGCGCTTATAATTATTATTATTATCATTATCAACCCATCGCGATTATATAATAAATGTTATGTAAATTATTCGAATATTTTCGTGCGTTTTCTTAAGGGAATTTTGTTCCCATAAGGAAACACAATATAGCATAAAAGAATACTTTATGGATAGAGTTTTCTCTTACAGTAGATTTAAACCTCGCCATAACACTTCGACTTATTTCCCACTACCATTATCATCAGTCATGTTTGTTTAGTTAAGTTATAGCAATACAACACCTGGGCGATCTGCCTAGCGAAAAGCCTTCAGGGAAGAAAATAAAGCCCGCTTAGGGGGAAGACAGAAGATACGAACACGGGCGAAGACGGCCGACTTCCCCGTGAAAATAAAGCCCGCGTAGGGCGAAGAGAGAAGATACGAACACGGGCGAAGACGGCCGACTTCCCCGTGAAAATAAAGCCCGCGTAGGGCGAAGAGAGAAGATACGAACACGGGCGAAGACGGCCGACTTCCCCGTGAAAATAAAGCCCGCGTAGGGCGAAGAGAGAAGATACGAACACGGGCGAAGACGGCCGACTTCCCCGTGAAAATAAAGCCCGCGTAGGGCGAAGAGAGAAGATACGAACACGGGCGAAGACGGCCGACTTCCCCGTGAAAATAAAGCCCGCGTAGGGCGAAGAGAGAAGATACGAACACGGGCGAAGACGGCCGACTTCCCCGTGAAAATAAAGCCCGCGTAGGGCGAAGAGAGAAGATACGAACACGGGCGAAGACGGCCGACTTCCCCGTGAAAATAAAGCCCGCGTAGGGCGAAGAGAGAAGATACGAACACGGGCGAAGACGGCCGACTTCCCCGTGAAAATAAAGCCCGCGTAGGGCGAAGAGAGAAGATACGAACACGGGCGAAGACGGCCGACTTCCCCGTGAAAATAAAGCCCGCGTAGGGCGAAGAGAGAAGATACGAACACGGGCGAAGACGGCCGACTTCCCCGTGAAAATAAAGCCCGCGTAGGGCGAAGAGAGAAGATACGAACACGGGCGAAGACGGCCGACTTCCCCGTGAAAATAAAGCCCGCGTAGGGCGAAGAGAGAAGATACGAACACGGGCGAAGACGGCCGACTTCCCCGTGAAAATAAAGCCCGCGTAGGGCGAAGAGAGAAGATACGAACACGGGCTGAAGACGGCCGACTTTCTTGTTGTTAGAAATATATTTTAACAATACGTAAAGAATTGTTACAATATATTGCTGCTTTTTCTATTGTAGATCGACATTTTTTAGCAGAATTTTTTCCTTCAATTTTCACTTCTTTTTTTTTATTGAGGTTTCCGGACAGAATTATGATTAAGTAATCTTCAGTAATGTAAGTAAATTATTACATTTGATTTATAAGAAATTAAAATAGAATGTAAAATTGAAACACATGTGTAATTCTTTTAATGTTGAATTAAATTAATTTATCAGATAATAACAACAGATATTGTATCAAAAGATTTTAAAGAAAAAAAGGATTCAAACCTAATAATATTTATTTCTAAATACAATATGATTATAAACTAATATCTGTATTTTTTATTGAAAATAATCATTATTGCAATATAATTTAAATATATAAAATTAATATTTAGAAATGAACTGTGAAAAAAAAAAACATTTAAAATTAATTCATAAACTGTCAGAATACATCTGTATTCATTAATTTTAAACTTACTTATTATTATTATTTTTTTAATTTTTGCTTTTTATTGCATGTCACAAGTGATCAATAATCAATATGTAGCTGATTTGTGGCAGGACTCTCAAAATTCCTTACCTGTAATATCTGGAATAATTTTTAACCATGCTCGGTAGCTTCAATAATTGCGTAACGCCGGGTTGTGCAAAAATTGGGCAAGGATACAAACGAGTACGAAGTTTGCAAGTATGTAGGTTTTTTTCATAAACCTGATTATTAAAGCCAAACGAACTGCCGAATTATCGGGCTAATATATAAGCTTGATGTTTGTATTAAAGCAGCCGCGGTAGACAAATCAAGAATACTACAGAGCGAAAGAAGTACTACAATCTGGAAAACGAACTCGAAATCTTTCAGACTACAAGTGAAAAAACACATAACATCTGTCTTCTCTTATATTCATTAAACACGATTCCACTCACATTAATTGAATCGGAAAGGGCATTTTCGGTAGCAGGACTTTTCTTTAGTAANATACGAACACGGGCGAAGACGGCCGACTTCCCCGTGAAAATAAAGCCCGCGTAGGGCGAAGAGAGAAGATACGAACACGGGCTGAAGACGGCCGACTTTCTTGTTGTTAGAAATATATTTTAACAATACGTAAAGAATTGTTACAATATATTGCTGCTTTTTCTATTGTAGATCGACATTTTTTAGCAGAATTTTTTCCTTCAATTTTCACTTCTTTTTTTTTATTGAGGTTTCCGGACAGAATTATGATTAAGTAATCTTCAGTAATGTAAGTAAATTATTACATTTGATTTATAAGAAATTAAAATAGAATGTAAAATTGAAACACATGTGTAATTCTTTTAATGTTGAATTAAATTAATTTATCAGATAATAACAACAGATATTGTATCAAAAGATTTTAAAGAAAAAAGGATTCAAACCTAATAATATTTATTTCTAAATACAATATGATTATAAACTAATATCTGTATTTTTTATTGAAAATAATCATTATTGCAATATAATTTAAATATATAAAATTAATATTTAGAAATGAACTGTGAAAAAAAAAAACATTTAAAATTAATTCATAAACTGTCAGAATACATCTGTATTCATTAATTTTAAACTTACTTATTATTATTATTTTTTTAATTTTTGCTTTTTATTGCATGTCACAAGTGATCAATAATCAATATGTAGCTGATTTGTGGCAGGACTCTCAAAATTCCTTACCTGTAATATCTGGAATAATTTTTAACCATGCTCGGTAGCTTCAATAATTGCGTAACGCCGGGTTGTGCAAAAATTGGGCAAGGATACAAACGAGTACGAAGTTTGCAAGTATGTAGGTTTTTTTCATAAACCTGATTATTAAAGCCAAACGAACTGCCGAATTATCGGGCTAATATATAAGCTTGATGTTTGTATTAAAGCAGCCGCGGTAGACAAATCAAGAATACTACAGAGCGAAAGAAGTACTACAATCTGGAAAACGAACTCGAAATCTTTCAGACTACAAGTGAAAAAACACATAACATCTGTCTTCTCTTATATTCATTAAACACGATTCCACTCACATTAATTGAATCGGAAAGGGCATTTTCGGTAGCAGGACTTTTCTTTAGTAAAATAAGAAACAGATTGAGTGATCGGAGTATCGACCATCTTTATTTTTTAAAACCTTATTATAAAAAAATTACAATAATATTTTGTATTATGTTTTATTTAAAAGACCAAAATTACCTTTTAAGTTAGAAGTTTGATCTAAGTTCATTTTTTTTAATTTTCAACTCAATTCAAAGCATTTGTTGTTGTTGTATGCGGTTTCTAGCAAACTTTAATATTTTTTTTCTATTTGTGAAAATTTCTACGTAATTCAAAGGTAATTTTTAATATATATCTTACACAGCATTATTAATTAATATGATTTTGGAGGTTGCAGAATGTATTAAATTACTTTAAAAAATGAATAATAATTACTGTATATCATTTGATTTCAAGATATTTTATATATCTTAAAAATAATTAATTCTATCCCGGGATTTCGGGAAACTGTTCACTTTTTTTCTCAAAATCCCGGAACAAGCAAAAGACCGGGAAATGAGAAATCCTAGAAACCCGACTCTCGGTTTTGCCTGTTTTTAATACTGTATTCGATCGTAAAATCAATTTTTAAATACTGTAGAGCAATTTTATTAACACTTTAATGTAATATCAAAATTTATAAATCAGTAAATAAATAAATTTAAAAAAAAAACAACCAAAGTTTTACGTTTCATTTTCTCGGATTTCTCGGAACTCGAATTCGTATTCCTCAAAGCGGCAAGAACCGTTTAGGCCTTCCGCCGCTATACCAATGTATCAAATCCGACAATATTACTTTGAATTTTCTATTAATTAAAAAAAAAATTTATTTATTTTAAATTTTATATTTTTCAATTGTTTTATCGTAATTTCGATTAAATTAAAGAGAAAATATTAAAATTATTTTTTTTGGGGCGAATTTTTTCGAAAACCAATTCGTCAAACGTTCGTATCTGGCAACGCTGCGTTTAGATTTATATACGCTATTTTATGAGTCCTTATAAAATTTTGTTAGTTGCATAATAAAAAATGGGTTCTTCTAAAAAACATAAGGATAGAGACAGGAAAAAACATAGAAGACGTTCTAGATCTCGATCTAGAGAAAGAGAACGACGACACAAAAGAAGTAGACATTATTACGACGAGGAAGATGTTGCAGAGAAGAAAGAAGAAATAAAAATTAAGCAGGAACCAACTAATGACGAAGGTATCTCTCAATTTAAAACACTTACTTCTATAGATTTTGGATCTGAATGAGGGGATGGCCATCTCTATCCTCTCATTCAAAGCTAGAATCTTAATACTGTATATAAATATACTTACATAACATTTATGTACATGGCATATGAACAAAGTGGTAAAGCATCAGATTACCATTCTGAAGGATCCAGGTTAGAGGCCAGATTAGATCCTAGGAAATTTTCACAGATAAGTAACCAAGGGGGTAAACAGAGACATAACTGGCTAGATCTGGCACTCTTTGGTCTAACCTGGTGCCGAAAAACCCCAAATTCGACCGACCGACCTAGTTAACTGAGTCGTGTCCGATTGTATTTGTCATCGTTCTCAATAGGGATGTCGTAAGTGCTCGATAGACGCGAAAAGAAGAGTGGCCGCTAGATACTAAGGTAGTGATTTGTTGGAAATTCAAAAAATTTTGCCGCTTTTGGTTTTACACTGCCACATTGGCTGCGTTTGGCAGACTCAGCAGTTTTGGAGCTGTTGAGTATTTTTCTGCTGAATGCTCTCTATAGTAGTGTTCTTTTGTAACATGTTTGGCAGTTTGATATCACATTTAGTAGCATCTTGCATTTACGATGCCTATTGCTACCCGAAACTGACCAATGAGGCTTTTTGTTACAACATAACGTCACTTGTTGTTTGGCTAATCCAGGTTTCTATGTAACGGCTACCAATTTGCTCGGTTACAACTGTTGAATGTTGTAGCCATTGTGATTTTTCATTTGTTTTAATTATTCTATGCAAATAGCTGATGTTTATGGGAACATCAGCTATTTGCATAGAAAGTCATGCAGAGAAATGCATCACTTTGCCTATTATTTCGACAGTTGACTAACAGATTTGTGTGGTTTGCTGAAATAGAGTTAACTCTATTCTGTTGAATCCTGCAAAACCTTTGTCTTTATTGCAATAATTTTGTTTTGAAACTTTGAAACTTTTTCACTAAAAAATAAATGCTTTTTTGTATTTAATAGGGAAAACTTCATAATTCTGTTATTACTCTTTTACAATAATATATGGAACTATTACTTCTATTACTTTTTATCTGTGTGATTTATTTGAAAATTAGTCAAATATATTGTTGTTTTTAGAAGTTACTTTAGTTAAAAGAATATATAAAATGTGTGTGTATGTGTATATATATATATACACACAGTGATGACATTCGAAATATTTAACAAAGGGTTCGCTAACAGAAAATTTTTCCTTAACAATTTTTTTTCCGCTCAAATGGTGCATCGGAAGGCTCTAGTTTAGTAGTGTTACAGAGTATAATACGTATATTTTAATATTTTTAAAAGAATCAAACCGTTGAGAAATGTTACATGTGTTTAACAAGGTTCGGAAAACTTTGAAAATGTTAACAACGGGTTCGGCCGAACCTGTGCGAACCCACTGAATATCACCACTGTATACACACATTTTTAACTTTGAAGATCACTATCCATCTATAAAACATGTGTTGACCCCATCTTGCTGAATTTCAAAAGTTCTTACTACAGATTTGGTACATGGATACCATGTAGCAATAAATTCAGGAAGTCTCTTGATGAGATGCACTGTAAAATTTAAATTGTTTGTTGGTGGAACTATTGGCACATGGAACAATTTTCCCTATATTACATACACACACACACAAATATGACAGTCTTTCTACATAATTTTTCAAAAACATATTCTTAAATTTATTTGACAGTGAAAAAAACAGGTAAAATTTTTTATATTTGCAAAGTTTTATCAACTGCCTTCTCAAGCTTTCATCAACACCTAAGAGGCCAGTATTGATCCCATTAGGTACTCCTAGTCTAAATTTATAATTACAATAGAAATTTACACTTTGCTGAAAATTTATCACAAAATTTATTCTGTTACAATCTTTTTTCCAGTTTTTGATGATCACTCAATTTTCTAGGAGCAAAATAAACAAACAGTCATAATAACTATAATTTTTTTAAATTATTAAATTTTTTATTACAAAGTAGTAAATTAGTGTATAGATATCCCTCACATAACATGATAGTTAGGCTCTGAAAAGTGACATGTTATGTGAATCTGTGATGTATGAAACAAAGAACTAGTACAAAACATAGTGTTAGGTTCCAAAAGTTAGCAAAAGTATACTGTTTTTTTCTTTTTTTTTTGTAATTAAGAGAAATATGTTTATTAAAGCAATCAATAATTAAATAACATTGACAATCAAAAATATTGCATGTTAATATTAATTTTTCTTCACTGTTAAATGAGGATGTTTTCTTTTTGGTAAAATATCATCTTCTGAACTTTACTGTTAAATTTAATCTGAAATATCAGCAACATCTTAATTTTTCTCTAATTTTTTAAATAAAATCTGATATTTTCATTTGCTTGCATTTATTGAAATCTTTAAAAATTTAATTTTTTTATATAGTAACTTTTAATTTAATCTACATAAACAAAACACAGTGACAGTCTTTTGGGTCATCATTTAGAGCACTGTCATTAATGACAGCAACACCTGATTTATAGGAAAGGAAGAAGAAAAATTATACAATCAATTGTCATTAAGCAAAGGGATCAAAATGAAGAGGGTCAGGCTAAAGGGAGTGCCCCACAGACAAGCAAAGTAAGCACATGATTGCCTTGATGGGGGTTTGAGTGATGGGAGCAAAGCAAACTTAGGGGTTGGGCTGTCTGTCTACAGATTCTCTTATTATTGACAAATTGTCAATTTATCAATAATAAAACAATAAAGTTTTTGTTCAAAAATTTATAAATTGAACATGTTATAAACAAATACAATGTTCAAAAAGAAATGATTACAGCTGATAAATACATGAACAAGTGGATGAAGCTCATAAGGTAAACCTTCCCCAAGTATATTATGAAAAAATGAATGTCATTGAATATGCATACAAATTTTGTTTTCAGCTTAATTTCAAAGAAAAATTTGAAGAATTGATAAGAAAGTACTTTTTATAAAAAAAAATAATTTTTGTAGTCTCCACTCCAAAACTCATTACCTTTAATAAAAATCTCACTCAAACCCAAAACCAATTTAATATTATAACAAGGTTTATAAATACAAACATTTTCATTTGTCACAAAACCAATGAACCAGCATAAAAGGATTACTCACTTTGAGAAGCAAATGCTTTCATTCATTTTCAATAGGATGAAAATGTTCTATTGAAAATGAATGAAAACATTTGATTCTCTGGTTGGTGTTCTAAAATTCAAATTGCACATTTTTGGAATGGATCATAAACTTTACATAGTCGATGATTGGAGTATAGTTTACAGACACTGATTAGTGGAATATTTGTACATAGCAACTTGCATGGAATGTGCCTCTGTTGAATTTATATATATTTTCCATGGGTTTGAATTGTGCTATTTTCTTTATAGTTGATGGATTTTGACTTTTGGGCCACCCTATAGATCTCCAAGATTAACTCCAGATACGTATTCTTTTTGCTGTACTACATATGATTTTGGCCTGATTGAAATGGACCTTCACATTCCTGGCATATGTTGACAGGGCAGTGGTTAATAGGTCTTTTGCTATGTTGGCTCAATGTTCCTTTATACAGGTGGTAATTTGTTGACATGTGGCTCTTAAGTATTCTAATTCTTCATTGGATCTCTTGTCTGTAAGAGGGATGGAATATACCTTGGATCTCTTGTCTGTGAGAGGATGGAATATACCTTGGAAATATTGCCATGTCAGCAGATGTTTGGCATTTTTAATTAGATTAAATATGGATTGGCTCCTTTTGAGCACTACATTGGTGTTGTAGTTGAGGGCTATCTCTCTGTATATATGAGCTAATGATGCAATATATGTTACCACCTTTTAAGTATCCAGAGCAGGTTGGGAGCTAGAAGAGTTATGCCTGTACATAGTGTGATTGCTTGATAAGCCCTTTGAAGATTTTTTTATTGTAACCACGAATGACTTCTTGTTTTACAATGATGTCAAATGTCCATTGTCTTTGCCTCGAATCCGTTGTGTGTATGTATGCTCTTCAGACCAAGGAGTTAAATGCAGACAACCTAAAAGAATAGGGATTATGAGAATGTGACCGTATGAAACTGGGGATATATGTGGGTTTCCTGTAAACTCCTAGGATGATGCATTATTCCAAAAACCTGTAATTCGAATTTTAGAACACCAGCATAAGAATGTCCTTTTAAAAATGATGAAAATGTTCATTTTTCAAAGTGAGTAGTTTTTTATGCTGGTTCATTGGTTTTGTGATAGATTAATATTAACCAGTATTGGGGTGTTGTTTTTGTCATTTTCATCTGTTTAAAATAGTCAAAAAATTTATATTAAACCTTGTAATATTAAAGTGGTATTGGTGTTTGAGTGAGTTTTTTTTAACTTTTTGGGCTGCAATTTGAAAAAATTATAGACCTATAAATTCCCACTTTCGTCCATCTGTTTGTCTTTCCTTAATCTCATGAATGGAGTTAGATAGATGAAAGATGAGGTCAGATTTGGAAACCTTAGGGGCAGAAAGACCCAATTAACTATATAAGAATTTCTGATGCAAATTGAAAGTCACATTATTTCAATTCAAAAATTTTCCCCTGAAAGGTGTTAGATAAATGACTGGCACAACTCTATTGTTAAAGGAAAGGTATGGTATACAGGGCAAGCCACCACTACTAATTTGAGGTGGAAAGCATATATTTTAAATTAAATAAATTAAAAATAAGGTTAAAAATTGCAATTATTTATTGTGATGATGTCACAATAAATAATTGCTCGTTGTAATTAATTTTATCAAAAATTTTTATGATTGTAATAAATTTTTTGAATAATTAAATACATTTTTTAAAAATTTCTAAAGATCATTTTTTTGTTTACATTTTTCTACTGGTAGAATATTTAATATATAATTATTAACTGATTCTAAGTGTTGCTTAGAAAATAAAATAGTTACACACTTCCGTTGTAGTAGGCTGTGAAATACATTTCGACAGAAACTTGTCACATATTTACAGAGCCCTGGGTATAAACTCTTCTTGTAACACAGAGACTAGATGTCATTACGAAAAATAATGTATGGCAATATTTGCCTTTCTGATTACCCACACGAGCACTGCAATTTTTTTGTTTGTTAAGAAGCTAGATTTCAGTTCTTGCATGTAGTGTAGTATAATATAAAGTATATCAATAGTATAAATGTTGTACTATACTATAAAATAATGATAAATTTTGTTTTCTGTTTTTTTTTCTATGTAAATATATCTGCTACACTGTACTTCATATATAATTTTTATCATCAAAAGTGCTTGTTCTAAAAATATGATACATAATGGTAGAGGAGCTTTATTTGTGACTGTATACCAAAGGCATGTCTTAATATAAAATGCAATTGAGCTAAGTAACAATGAATTCTACAGTGCTGATGAGCCACTAGTGGAACATGGCAGCTGATGTGAAAGATACAAATATACCATCTGTGGTACACAGTATTGTGTGTGTGTTTATAATTAATATAAACGATAATTTTACATATCACATTTAACAGTTTTCTAAGTAATAAAATTGTGTTAAATAAAATATAGGTGTATGAAAATCGTATTATTTTATTTGTTGATGTATGTTTATATCAGTTAATTAATTTGCTTTAATGTCTTTTGGTTTCCTCCAGATTTTGTTGCTCTTTATGGTTTCATTGATACTTAAAAAGTTTGGTTAGAATATATCATTTATTCAAATATTAATAATTTCTGAATTATCATGATTAAACAACTGAATTATGTTTGTGTCACAAGAGTTTTCAAAATTTCTATCTGAATGTAAATTTTAATATGTAATCAATGTATTAATAATTTAAAAAATGCATAAATATACAGGGTGGTTGTAAATTATTGAGTGCATTTCAGATTGAAATAAAAAATAATACACAAACATAGTGACCTCTTTTTTTTTCAGATAATAGCGTAGCGGTAAGAGTTTGTGCCAACCTTGGCTGAATGTAGGTGGCACTATGGTGGAAAATTAGAGAACCTTTTTTCCAAGCATATAGTAACTAGCACTACATACCACTACATCTGTTATAGGGTTATGTATGTGATACCACAAATTGAATACTGACAAGCTAGACATCAACTAATGCCGAATTCTGTCGGGCTAGACATGGCTATAATACTAAATAAATTATGCAACCAATTTGGCACTAGAGGTTGCATAATTTATTTAGTATTATAGCCGTGTCTAGCCCAATAGAATTTGGCATTGGTTGGTGTCTAGCTTTAAGTATATTGAGTTTAGCGATGTTGTTTGTTTGAATACTGACAACTGAACGTTTACTTCCAGTAAGATGAGGCACCGCTACACTAGGGTTTAATTGTTTGGAAATGCCTACAGGACTAATTTCCTGAATGTCGGATTGGCTGCAGAAGGCCAATTTCCTGGCTGCCTCGATTCCTCAACATTACATCACTGGATTTCTTTCTTTGCTGTTTGTCAAAGACAGGGTGTATACAACAAAGGTTGCAACATTGAAGAATTGAAAAGATGAATTGGTGAAGTCAATGGAGAAATAACTGTTGAAATGTTCTGTAACACATGGTGAGAAATTGAATGCTGCCTGGATATTTTATGTACTACACATGGCTATGCATGGAGCTCATATGGAAGTTATTTAAAATGTAAAATATTTTATTTAATGATCTATTAAATAAAACAGCATATACATGAATACTTTACTGCATTTTTTTTTTTATTCCTCTCCGAAATGTGCTCAATAATTTAAATTTATAATCACCCTGTATATTTTATTTATTATACAGTCGACCCCCCTATAACACTGTTGATTTTTTTGTTTCATATGAATTCCATGTTGTACGAGTCACTTAGATTATACAAATACATGAGCTGTTCCGGCACACGTATTTGTAAAATCTAAGTGACTCGTACAACATGGAATTCATATAAAATGGAAAAATCAACAGTGTTATAGGGGGTTGACTGTATATCTTAAGTAGCAATGTTATCTTTTTTATAAAATAGATAGTGTTCATAATTTTGTTGTTTGACAAATGGTTCCTTCACACTTTGTCATTTCTGTTGATTCTTATTATAAACAGAAATTTTACATGTTATGAAAGTAATTACACTAAAACTGTGTATAAAAATAAATTTATTACTATAGTATTTTTAGTTTCGTGTTTTTTGTTGTTTGACAGATGAGATGCATTGTAAATTTGTACATTTTAGGTGGTAATCTTCTAGATTTGTTTTTTCAGTCTTTTTTTTTCTTTTTAGTAAATGTAACAAAAAATTTAGAAAAACTGTTGGGATTGTATTCCGTTTTAATAAATTTGATGTTTTGTATCTGTTTTATAGTCATCATGCAAAATATGTAGACTATATATTTTAGCATAATCTCTGAGAAGCCAATTTTTATGGATGAATAATCCATCAATATCTATATACTTTAATTGAATTTTATAGGAAATTCATGAAAGCCATTTCCTTTATGATTTGGATTTCTCTGAATAGATTTTACAAAGTAGAATGAAATAACTGAACATTTTTTCTATGAAAAAGTCTTTTCTTTCTTCAAAACTTTATAGAAAAGTGAGTAGATATCATGTTATGCAAGCGATTGAATCTAGCACATTCAGATGACGAAAAATATACTGTTGTTTTTGTTGAATGATTGGGCCTGTAGTATCTAGGTGACTGTGAATGAGGCCTTATTAGTGTTGCAGGGCAGATAGAGTTTAAAAAATTAAATAAAAGATTATATATAAAGTTACAGTAAATATTAAACTTCCAAATTATCTCAAATAAACAAACATAAACACTTAAGTAAAATTGATTTCATTTGCATCTGTTTTGTTTTATACTTTGTTTCATTTTTTTTCTAAAAACTTTTTATACAAAAACTTTATAATTTTGATTATTAAAACAAATTTTTTTAACATTTTAATAACTTATGTGCTGCTTTTAAATTTTAAATATATTTTTATTGTACATTTTCAAGAAATAGAACAGAAAGATATATGCTTTCAATATTGCTATCACATAAACATTCTGAATTCATTAAGATTAATCAAATTTACTTAGCTGACTTCTTAAAGGTTATCATTGACAATTACTGTATTGCTTATCAATCTTTGATGATTTGACAATAACATTTCAGTTATTAATGCCAGAAGAATTTTTAATTCTATATTAGTTAAATAAGCATACTATTAAATGGTGTCACTGTAAATCAAAATTAAATTTGGCTTGAAAATTTCTAAATCATAAATTTTGAAAGCTTTTTGGTTTATTAAATTTTCTTGGCTACGCAATACAACAACTATTGTGTAATAACTACAAAAAGAACTTAAACAACATACTAAACTCTGAAAGTTCATTTAAAGTTTATTGTTAAATTCAGAAGTGAATACCATCTAATTATATCACATAGATAATATGAATAATATAAATAATGTTTGACTTTTAGCTTAGCATAATATTTTAATTAAATTAACAGAGAAGACAATATACAAGGTCTGATCAAAAAGGATCCAACCTTATCTTTTTCTTTGCAAATATTTTCAAGCTGGGGAAGAGAATTATGTTGTCATGTGACCTTGGACCCTACTGCATGTGTGGGAATTTTGACGAGCTCACCCTATCCTGCAGTCACTGTCAGGCAGCTATGATAATTGCATGTGTAATCTGTTATCATCACATTAATGACTTGGCAGAACATCACAGATGAAGATTATAACCAGAGATGAGACCTGGTCTACAGGTATGACTCTGAGACAAAGGCAAAATTATCCCAGTGGAAAGTGCCATGCCACAGCCAAAGAAGACACAACAATTATGTAGCAGTGTGAAGGTCATGTTTACCATTTTTTTCAACCACCATGGTATAGTTTATCATGAGTAACTCTCATGAAAAAACTGTGATGAAGTACTACTACCTGATTGTTTGTCACCTATGAGATGCTGTTAGATGCAAGAGACCAATCTGGCAACTTGTTCATTCATTACAATAATGCTCCAGCCCATGCATCATATCCAGACATTCCTTGAAAAACAGGATATTGCACAGGTTCAGCAGCCTCGTTATTCCCCAGACATGACTCTGGCTGACTTTTGGTTTTTTTTGAAACTCAAGATGCCACTCAAAGGAAAAAGATTTCAGGATGCAGAAGTGATCAAGTGATAAAGTGACCTGATGGACATCTCGATAAATGACTTTGAAAAATGCTTCCAATGGTGGAAACAATGCTGAAAGAAGTGTATGAACTCAGAAGGGACCTATTTTGAAGGGAAGTTATTAATGTTTTGTTAGTGTTTGAACCAAATAGGTATGCATTGTACGACCACAGGTCAGATACTTTTTGATCAGGTCTTATACTGTAAATTGAATTTCAATAGTTTTAATAATTGTTATAAAAATATAGAAACTATACATATATTTGGTTGCCATAAAATATGGATATTATCAATAGAAATATTTTAATTTAAGTTGAATATTTTCAGATGAAGAAAATATTGCAGAGGGTGGAGCAAAATTATCATTAGGCATAAGTGATACAAAGTAAGTATTAAATATTAAATGCTTGATCCTGACTTTTTTAGATATATGAAATTTTAAAAGTTTATATTTAAGGGAATTTGATATTAAGGAATCAACATAAAATTCTCCTAAATTGTTGTTATGATTATTTGATTAGTATTTTAATTAATTAATATTGATTAAAATAAAGTATGTTCTGATTTTAAACATTTAAATAAGAAAGTTATCTCAAAGTATACTGTATCAAGAAATATAACTTTTTTGGTATTTTCATCTTTTATAATATTGATTGAAATAAATATAAATTGATGATAACATATGCATGCTGTTAATAAATTAATATTTTGTCAATGCTTATTTTTTTTTCTTGGTATTCAATTATTGAATAATCTCTTAATATTAAAACATTTATATTTAAAATTTATATATTTTGATAAGAAAAAGTATTTCTTTTCTTTCTGCACAATTATGGTTCGGGTCATTTCTCATTCTATCACACTAAAAAAATTCAGTCAAATTGTTGTTTCCATGTTTTTGCAGGTCTCTTTGTTTTTCCTTTTTGTATTGTTACATAACATTTTTGGAGTATTTTACTTTTTATCAAATTGTAAAGAATAAATTTTTTCTGCTAAATCTTAAAAAAAAGAAATCATAAAGTACTTTAAAAAGTTTTTCAATTAATTTTTGCAATTTATGAGAAATCAACATAACATAAATGCTAATTTGGATAGTAGTTAAAACTCACTGTGTTTAGCGTTATTACTCGTTTTTTCGTTCATTTGAGCGCTTTCGACGAATATATATTTCCGTCGTCTTCAGGCGAATAAAATGTTTTAATCGATCATGAACGTTCGATAGAAGAACACATAAATTTAAAATTAAATAATTTTCCATACAATTCCGCAACGGTTTGAATTACGTGCGATGTTACGAATATGATGTAATACGGCGCATGCGTGGTACTGCTTCCTGTCAGTGACGTGACATATGATGTAACTCGCTGTTTAATCGCTTGTATAGGGCGATCCATATATTTGGCAGCTCCAGAGTAGGTGTGTTGCATGTTTCAAATGTTGTTATATATAGTGACTCCCATATATAGAATAGTCTTTGGTCATTGCATGCCCTGAGTATGGTGGAGTGGGCCCATAATGGGTTATAATTCATGTCGCACACTCTTCTTGCGAGCTCAGTGCTGCACCTTCTTTTTGCTATATCATCATGGTGTTCAGTCAGGCGGGTAGCCAACATTCTTGCTGTGGCCCCAATATATCTCATGCTATTCCCCGTTACAGGATTTTCTAACGGAACCGCATAAATTCCTGACTTCTCAAGGATGGAAAGCTTGTCTCGGTCATTGCAGAGCAATCTGCGCAAATTAGGTAACGGAGACAGGGGCAGGAGCAGATCATATGGGAGTCACTATATATAACAACATTTGAAACGTGCAACACACCTACTCTGGAGCTGCCAAATATATGGATCGCCCTATACAAGCAATTAAACGGCGAGTTACATCATATGTCACGTCACTGACAGGAAGCAGTACCACGCATGCGCCGTATTACATCATATTTGTAACATCGCACGTAATTCAAACCGTTGCGGAATTGTATGGAAAATTATTTAATTTTAAATTTATGTGTTCTTCTATCGAACGTTCATGTTTGATTAAAACATTTTATTCGCCTGAAGATGACGGAAATATATATTCGTCGAAAGCGCTCGAATGAACGAAGAAATGAGTAATAACGCTAAACACAGTGAGTTTTAACTACTATTTAATGTTACTTGGCGTGAATAGCATACTAACCTATATGCTAATTTGGAATTTTACTAATTGTAATCATAATTAATACATTTTCAAATTAGTTAATATATATGCATGTGATTATTATCTATTATTTTCCTTAATCAAGATGAATTCTTATAATAATAACCTTACGAAAACTTGATAAAATCAATCTATGTGAAAAGGAACATTATAAAAATACGTAGAAAGCCTTAAAATGTTAAATTTTTCCTTAATTTTTTTTAGCAAACTACGAGCAAAATTAGGATTGAAACCTCTAGAAATAAATGAAGAAATTCAAATACCAGGTAATTGTGGAAATTTCACTATTTTAAAATTTAGTTATAATATTTGAAACAGTAAGTTGTTATTAAAAATTTTTTGAATTTTAACTTCTGAACTTAAATTTTAATGTAAATTTTTGTAGCAATTGTTTATATTGCCTTCAATTGTTATGTATGCATAATGTTCTTATGTGTACAAATAGAGTAAAAATACTTTTTCAATGACTTTAATATTTATCATAAGTGAATATTGGTTTAGTTAGTCATTTACAGATTTTATGAATCATTGTTCATTATATTTACAATATTTACAAGTTTGTTATTTTATTGAAAATTAGACAATGCATTTTAATTTCCATATTGTTTATATTCCTTGAAATTTTGAATATCAAAAATGTTGTTACTATTATAATAATATCAAGTTTCATAGACTTTCATATTTTTATTAATTATAAATCATGAAAGAGCATCTTAAAGCAGAATTTTATCTTTGAAGTTTGATTGTATTTTTGGAATAGAACTATTTATTTATTTATTTTTGTTTTGCTTTCAATCTTGTTTATCAGTCTTCCTGTATCCCTAACTTGACTTCAGCATGTTTTAAATCTGTTACTTATGTTTCTTTAGGACTTGGAGATGAAAGTTCTAATGCCAGTGCTCCAGAAAGTGGAAAACAAGAAATATTTGTTAAAACAGAAAATTTATCCAAGAAAGAAGAAGCTGAAAAGTTGAAAGACAGATTAACAACTTTGAAGGAGAAAAGAGTGATTACAACAAAACTAAGGTAAATCCAAAAAATCTTCAGTTTTTTTAATGTAGTTGCAGATGAGCCACATATTACCTTTGTCCCATCCACTTCCTTGTCCTGTAAATATCATATTAGATATGTGCTGTAATATTTTGTCTATTCCATATTCTGTAACTTAATGTAAGGGATATGTAATGCATAAAAATGTTCTTTCCTTTGGCTAAAAAGCATAGAATTGTATTTTGGAAAAATGATTACATTATTATCTGGACATCTAAAACATGCTTGCAGACCATACTTTGAGAACCACTGATTTGATTTAGAGAGTTAGCTCATGTGGTAATAGCAACTTGAAAATAGTGTTACCAACTCATTCAGTGGTAAAAATAAATTCATATACTGTACAATACTTTGAAAAATGGAAAGAAATGAAATATATTACCAGTATAGGATAAAAAAATGTTTTATAAATACATAAAAATGAATAATTGTCAGAGGAAATTGAAGAAAAATACTGTAAGTCAAGTTTGGTTTACTGCCAGAAGTTGGTTTCACCAAAAAACTCCTACTAAGTGACTAGTGACTAGTGCATTACTGGGATGATGTCAAATAATCTAGTCTTTGTAGAAAGAGCAGACAAGTGAATGTTAATGATAGGGGGAAATACAAAGTTGTTAAACTGGTTCTAGTGTAAACAGATAATGTAAATACATTGGATTAGTAAGATATATTTTTTTGAAAATTTCTTATGAATAAATTCTGAAAAGTGTATAAATATTCAAAGTACATTTCTTGTCAAATACACTTTTTGGATGATTCTTTTATCAATAAGCATAAAGTTATGCTATTATTAAAAAAATTAAGTTTTTTTTAATGAGAAGAGAAAGTCTGATTTGATGACCTGGGCATACAGAATGAAAAAGGATAACTCTCTTAGTGCCACTGGGAAGAAACAGTTCAAAATAAGATGAATATTTAATTTATTTGCCATTTTTTATATATTAGAGCATTCTATTTAATCATAAAACAAAATTTATAACTAATATAATTATTTTAATACTTTTTATTTAGTAAAGTTAAAGGACTTGCTGAAAGTGACTCAGAAGAAGACTCTGCAGCTAACTGGGTAACAAAAAGTCGTAAATTACAAGAAGAGAAAGAATTGGCTGACAAAAGAGTATGTTATGAAATTTCATTAAACTTAAAAGTTTATCATATATTTTTATAAAATCATATATTATAAAGATTCTGAATCATATTTTGTTAGACTAATTAGTATATTCATTACTTGCCAAAAGGTAGGAAAAATTGCCATATAATATAATATAAGCAATTAAATATCAGTACAGGAAATTGATACTGATATTTAAGGTAGGAAGTAATCTTACAAATAAGTGCCTTCCAGAAGTTTGATTAATTTCTTAGATACTTCCCTTTTCAGTATAAATCATTACTTAGCATAATTTTTTATGTTGGTTAAGCATAAATGTAGTTCAGCTAACTTTTGTAATAATTATCTGGTTATTTTTAAGTAAATTGTACATTGAAAATTGTTTTTTGTACATCATTTATTGTATTTTATGAGATTTTGAAAATTTACATTTATTTAGTAACTTTTGATGAGAAGTATATTCTTAATTATGATTTTAATATGTGATTTAGAAATCGAAGTTATTGAAATAAATTGAACACACATTTTATATAAAATAAGATTTTACTAGAATATATATATATATTTTTTTTTTGTTCAGAAATAGACTTTTATGGTAAGAAAATGTTTAGAGAGGTTGAATATAATCTGTAAAGATAAAAATATTTTCATCTATTTGTTGAAAATGATATTTTTGTCAAGTGACTAAATCAACAAATTCAAGAGCATTATTGTTGAAAAAATTAATGCTATTTATGTATACATGTGTAATATTTACATGGGAGACGGGGGGAAATTGATAGTTGGAACATACTGTTATTATGAATGCTGTTTGAGGTAGGTAATAACATCAGTTAATGTGAACAGGAAACTTGTTGAATGATTTATTGGTGACAGGATAATTTTCTATGTGGAGTCAAAAATGGAAAGTTTTTTGGGTTATCATTTTTACGTTCATTATTTCTTAATGATTATATGTTTTAAATTATTTGTGCCTCTGTGTTAATTATCTTAAAATTTCATTCATATGTTTTTATACAATAGCTTATAGATTAAATTATACCATGTGACTCTTGGGTGTAATGGATTAATAGCATTTTCTTATAAATGATAAGTTAATTTAAGTAGGATAGGATATGATAAAATAATAGAAAATAAGGCAAGTTAGTACATATATGATGATCAATTAGATATTGTTTTATAAGATTTAGTAGAATAATTAATCAGAGTTTTTAACAGTTTGAAATAAGAAAAATATAAAAAGTTCAAATACATGGATCTCTTTGTTGGAATGATTTCTGAAGTATATACATGCATACATAGATTGAGAAATAGAACAAGTTATATAGAAAAATTGTTAATATTGATTTCCTGTACTACTATATCTTATAATACTCTCAGTTTGCTTGTAAATGATTGGGTAAATTGATAAAAAAGATATTTTATTGTCAAATATATTATAGCTATATATATATATANAAAGAATTTGGAGTAGGAGCATTAATTGAAGAAGAATTTAATATGAAAAAAAAAGCAGAAAAGGTTTTTGATTTGATTATTGAAATATGAATTTTTGTAGTTTGAAAAATAATAAATATTAAAAGTTTTTTCTTTTTGTAAGAATTATGGCTCAAAGGATTTGAAAGGCCTTGTTGTTGGTCATTCTCAAGAAAAATTTGAGGAAGGACAAAATATAATTCTTACTTTAAAAGACAAAGGTAACACAATAAAGATTAAATTTTTTAAATTAGTGTAAGTAAACAATGATATTTCAAGTATTAGTAATATTTTACAAATTTCCATTTCTGTGATTTTAATTGTAAGATGGATTACAACTTTCTGTGGTGCTTGAAACACGAAGAAAATAATCAGATGATAAGGCCAATTAACTATCAGGCTAGAATTTGGCTAGTTAATTTACAGATATTATGTAATTTAGACTTACGCTACCATCTTGTATGAAATTTAATACTTATAATAATTATTGAGTTGAATTAAATAATACAAATTATTCTGAAAGAAAATACCAATTTGAAGTGAAACTCAAACCATATAGCTTCTACTTAATATGCAAATGTATTGCCAGTTACCCACCCTGTATCTTCAATCATTCTTAATTTCTAGACTAATTAATTGATGAATTAATTAATCATACAGATCATTCACCATGGCAACTGGGCATGACTTTGTATCCATATCCCTCCATAGCTCTAACCCAGTAGTGAATCTGATCTTATCATTTAATCAGTGTAATAACATAATTGAATAGAATACTTACAGCTTGGTTGTCTATATCTACTCATGAAGAAAGTATAATAAAAATTATATAAGTCAAAATATGACTTATTATAGAAGTTGTTTTTTATTTAATAATAATAATAATAAAGAAATAGAAATTATTTTAAAAAATGACAAAATGAAAACATTTTTTTCAAACTGATATAGAGATCAACATCTCTAGATTAATTCTTAAGCCAATGACCTCAAGATTAGTTTAATTAAGAAAAAAATTTGTATTATAGAAGCAGTTTTTATTAAGATATATAAATTAATAATTTATTTAAAAGATTTTGATACAGTTAAAAGAAAATATTACCAGTTTATAAAATAATTAAAAATCCTTTAAAAGATATTAAAATATTTTGCTGAAAATCTTTTTATTGATGAATCAAATAGGAAGATAATAATTTTACTAACTGAAAAAGAACCTTTTTACATTTATCAGCTTTACTTAATGTAATTATATCATTGTGAAAATAAAATACATTAAAGTAAAAATGTTATAATTTGCAATTAAATTACTGGCTATTTAAATTTTACATAAATTTAATGAAAGTAAATTAAATAGGTGTTCTGGAAGAGAGTGAAGATGTTTTAGAAAATGTTAATTTTATTGATAATGAAAAAGCGGCAAAAAATATTGAAAATAAATTAAGGAAGAGTGATTATAAACCATATGATGATGAGTTTGATGAATTTGGAATGGTAAGTAAAACTAATTGTATCTTATTATTTAATTAAAAATTTTAATTATTAATTTACTTAAAATCTTTCAAATTTTTTTAATATTTAAATCAGTAATGTGCACATACTCCTGGAGTGTATAAGACAATTTGTAAAAGGACAGTGTTAATGTATTTAGTAAAGAAATAATTTAATTTTGTTATGGTATACCATTCAGCATTGGTCATGTCATGTCAGCAAATAATCTTATGTTAACAATACACTTCATCATATAAACAGTTTTTTTTAAATCAATCTTGTAAAGTGGTAAACACAATTTCTATATACTGTTTCAATTTACATTAATTTTTGCAAATTATTTAGTGCTATCGCAAACACATTTCAGATGGCTTTATCTCTGCCAGACACCACAGACAGCCTTAATGCAGTGCCAGTAGTACTTGACAGAGAAAAAAATTTTTCACAGAACTATACATTCTCTATTCCATCCAAGTTAATTTGTACACAACATTAATTAAAGCCCTTTATATTTGTGTTTTTGTCAACAATCTTCTATAATTCTGTTCAAATTTTTTCAAGAATATGTCAAGAAATTTTTTCAAGAGTATTTTTACATTTTTTTTTGTGATTGATTACAAAAATTAGTCATGTTCAATTACATTTTCATTCTTTTCAAAATTATTTTAGTTAGAAAAACTTTTTAAATTTAAATTTAGAAATATCTGGAAATCAATTAGCATAAATAAATTTTTGATAGCTTTTTTAGTATTTTTACAAATTGCATTTAAATCATACCAAGTTGATCAGAAAGCTATACTCAAAGGGTTTGTTTTATAGAAAGAAATATATACATTGCATAACTATTTTATAAGGGACAAATTGTAAGCCATTGCTTCTTTATGTTGATATCAATAAAATGAAATTAATAAAAGTTGTAAAGTAAAATCAAGACAATGTCCTAAGCACCAGGTAGTAGGCTGCCCAGCATATATATCACTCTGAGGGAAGTAGGTTTCCTTGCATATTTTGTGTATTCTGGAAAGCATATTTGCAATTTTATGACTATTAAAAACAAAAACTGAAACTTTTTGTTTGTTTTGTTTTCACTTTTTTTATTACAACTGTCCGAAACATTTTTTTAATAAAGTTCACAAAAAATAATTATATGGAATACCAAAACTTATAATTGCAATAAAAATGTATGCTTTACAACAGAATAAATTTTGCAGCAACCTTCCCCCAATTTTGATGATTACTTGATTAGTAGAGATTCTTCAGAGTAAAATAAAAAAGACACCAAAATAAAATTTCTGTAGAAATCAAAATTGAGTGATTTTGTTCAATGTAATAAAAGCAATCTGTGTTAGTTATTATTTTTTTGAACAATCATATATTTACACTTGTGCCAAACACTTATTTTCCGATATTAGGTAGTTATTCTGTGTAATCTTTAGGTTTTATATGCACATTATTTATTTTACTGACTAGTTTTTAAATGATGGTATTTTATAATTTTACTAAATTCATAAAATTTTAATTATAATGTATTAATATATTGTTTTTATTATCAGGTTAAAAAGAAAACTCTTTTGTCAAAATATGATGAAGAAATTGATGGTGTGAAGAAGGAAACTTTTGTTATTGGTAAATATACAATTTGTATTATATTTGTAGTGATATTGATCAGTAATTCCATTGAGTTGAGAAATATAACCTGTAAAGAATTGAAATCACGTATTTCTGTTTCTAATTATAAATAAAACAATGCAAAATTGCTTATTTTGTATACTTCTCACTGATAAAAAAATTCTAAAAATAAAATTCTTACAACCGTAAGAATGCAGTCTGACACACAATACTTTTGACATTTTTTTTTTTTTTTAAATATGTGAAATTATTCATTTGTATTCTTTTTATATAAAATTGGATTTGTTACTTTCATTTTAACAAAATGATCATTTACTTTGATTTTATTTTCTTGCCAAAATTTTTAGATGTTTTCCTGGAATTATATTCTTATTTACTTTACCAAATAAAATCTGTAAATTAAATATTAATTTAATTATATATTAATATACACTTATTATTAAATTTGAAGACAAATATATTCTGAAACTGTTATTGTTATGAAATATAATTTCATAAATTAATATATTTGTTTACATAACTTAAAATTAGCATAAACAAAAGAGTTACATTGCAGGAGAAAATTACATTTTTGCAATGAAAAACTTTATTGTTGTGCAATATTATAAAATATTACATATTGTTTATTCCTTTCTGAAAGACATTAAAGATGATGGGTAAATTATATATAATTTTGAATACAATTGCTGGGCATTAATAACATTAACTTGTGATTACATACAATTTTTTTAGTACTGTTGCATGCATAAGGCAGAGATTTTCTGCTGATTTTTTTTTCCTTGAATTTGACAATTCTGAAAAAATTTGAGATTTATCTTCTCTTTGCATGCCAATTTTCAAGATCATATGTTGTGTAGCTTATAAGATATTATTTTGTTTACAGAATAATGTCCTTAACTCAGAAGCTTCTTACGGGATAAGTCCCATAAGAAGCTTCCCAAACTTTGTGATAACAAGGACTGATGTGAAATGAATTTAGCTGGAAATAAATGATGGGAGTGCTGAGGTATTTCTCAGAAGGACCAGAAAATGATTTTTCTATATTTTTTGGACACATAATAAACTCACAAAACATTTAAATTGTTGAAGATCTTAGCATCCCAAATTATCTCAGAGACAAGCATTCAAAGTCAGACTGGCAGGCTATGCATGACATCAATTTCTCTTGTAGCAATTGTGAGAGACCTCCATGACATTAAGTAACTAAAAAATGATATGACTTAACTTCATCCAACACCGGAATATAATCAATTATGTATCCCAAAGACTGTTACCAGTGTGCAATTAACTTCAAAAAACAAAAAATTAAAATTTCACTAACGTTTTTGAACCTTCAATGGTTGTTCTTCAGATGGCAACAAATTTCCGTTAGAATGCGATTAAATACAATTATTATTTGAAATTTGAATATGTGTTAGCCAATGAATTTTTACTAGGCATGCACATTATATACGCAGTATATAATGCGCATAATATCTATAATTTTGAATTAATCGCATTCTAATGGAAATTCGTCACCACCTGAAGAAGAACCGTTGAAGGTTTGAAAATGTTCGTGAAATTTAAATTTTTCATTTTTTGTAGTTAATTGCACATTGGTAACAAGCTTTGGGGTACATAATTAAAAAATGATATTAGAGTAGAAAATCACCACCTTATGCATGCAATTGTATGACAAGAAAAATTTTATGCAATTGCAGGCATAAGGTGGTGATTTTCTGTAGCAGTTTTTTGAGGGCCTGAGATAAGTGGAAAAAAGTTTTTTAGATGAAATTTTTACACAGTCAAATGGACAACATGAGAAATTTGTGGAAAATTTTTGCAAAATAGTAATAGTTGTGGGAAATTATCACTACTGTGTGTGATTGTGGGTTAATATAAAAAGGTTTCATCCAGAAATAATTTACAGGTATAGAATTTAACTGATTAAAAATAATTATCTGATTAGATAAATAAAACTATTTAGATTAATATCATTAACTAGCATTTTGATATATAAAATTGATTCTTGGTAATTGGAATAAAACATCATTGTCAGAATGTATCCCATTGAAAATTAGCATTTCATAGCGACTCATAAAGTCAAGGTTGATATAATAGTGTTGAAAGATTTCAGACTTGAAGTTTGTTTAATGACAAAAAATTATTTGTGTGCAAAATCAAGAGCCCATTTCAGTATATCATTAAGCTTCAATCTGATTTTAACTACATTTATTATTTAATTTTGGTTTTTCAGTTATCTTCCAGTAATCAAAAAAACTGTTTTGTAAAAATTTTTAATCTAACTTTGGTACTTTATAAAATATATATTTGAAGAATTTTACAAATTTAATCTAATATAATGAGTAATGTGTTTATTTCAAAAGTAATAATTAAAAGATAAAAGAATCATAATTTTAGAATTATGAATTCAGTATTTGATGAAATTTTTTATTTTAAGTGAATTTAATATTCTAGATATTTGATTAAAATTTGAAGCTATTTGCAATATTCATGTAAAATTATTTTATATGAATGTTATAAAATATTTATTAGAAATTTGTCCAAAGAATACTTGANATTTATATAATTTTCATCTAATTTTTTTGTATCTGTCCTATAAGACAACCCCGGATTTTGGGGTTTTTTTTTATGATTCAACTATCATCTTATCTGTGCAGATATACGGTAATTTAAAATAATTTTAATAATGATATTTGAAATATGTACATATATATATATGTATGTACATATTTCAAATATCATTATTAAAATTATTTTAAATTACCGTATATCTGCACAGATAAGATGATAGTTGAATCATAAAAAAAAACCCCAAAATCCGGGGTTGTCTTATAGGACAGATACAAAAAAATTAGATGAAATTTATATAAATTAAAACCGTTATAAAAAGCGGACAAACTATAATTATTTACTTGTAGAGAGTAGGGTATATCCACAAAATAGAATAGCCCATATAATGTTTTTGTGAATAGTCAAGGTCACCCAAATGCCTGTTTATTTGCAACAATAGCAAGGCAAATTTTATTTTCTTGCCAGATGCAAGAAAATAAAATTTGTTGATTTGAAAAATTACAAATTGGACATAATTCTGTATACGCTATACAGTGTTATTATCCAGATGATGATCTCTGATCTAAACTAAATTCATAGGCCATTGATAGTTTGTGGGTCGTCTTATAGGTCAGATATATGCTAAAACTATAAAACTTTGATGAAAATTTATACCTCGTCTTATCTGCACAGATATGCGGTATTAAAGAATTTCAGTATAGTATCAATATTATGAAATAAACAGGAATGCAATAACATTTTCTATTAATTTGAAAATTTATTCAATCCACCAGTTAACAATCAAATGAATTGTTACTTATCAGTTAATATAATAAGTGAAGGTAATTATGTAATATATATTAGTTTATTATTGATTAATTTCAAGTTATCTTTAATTTAAATTATAATTTAATCATGTTTCATTTCTATATCATTAAAGGTGCCTCAGTTGTTGATCGTGAAAAACAGTTGGAACTGATAAGAATGAAATTGAAACAGCAGCAAGAGGTAATCTGTAACATATATATATATATAATATATATATATAAAGATTTTTTCTTACCAATGTTTTTCTCAATAATATGAAATTGTATGTTTTATAGGTAACATTAGATCTACCTGCTTTAAAAATAGCCAATGAATATTACACCACAGAAGAAATGGTTAGTATTAAGATTTTATAAATTTTCTCTTTCCGAAAAATACAAACAATAATAATTTTTTGGAGATAATATTAAGTAGCCAGATTATCCAGTACCAATATTCAGTTATGATAGAAGATATAAAGAACGACAGTATATTTGGGTGAGAAAATGTTAAATATAAACTTATTGTTAGATGACAGTAATTTCAAAGAAAGTGATTTACATGGGTTGACTTTCAGTTTTTCAAATCTTAAATTTTTGTTATTTACTTTAACAAAATGGAATCTATATCAAATATTTTGATGTTAATTTTTAATTATTCTCAAAATTGAAGTAAAGAAAAGCTCAGTTTTAATATAAGAAGATACAGATAAAATACAGGGTGTTTCAAAACTTGTGGGCAAAAATTTAAGGGGTGATAGAAAACATCTAAACAAGCAATTTTCACCATACAATGCACGGGTGGAGAGCAAGTGGTGAACTGCTAGGAGGTATCTGTTACTGTCACATGAAAGAAAGAAACACCAAACGGATAGAGGAGATATTAAATAATTTTATTGACAGCATGCGTGGCAAAATTACAGAAACTGCTCAAAAGAGCGACTTTTTCAAACATGCGGTGCACTTTTTCAAACACACCCGGCATGTCTTGGACAGCACTGGCAGCAACAGAAATCCTACATAAAATGCATGTTTGCCTTTTCCTGATTACCATTCGTCACCGTGCCTTCTGAAAACCACGGTAGAAATGACAATGTGTAATAAAACTTGCGCTTTATGCTTTCCATTACAGTGCTGTCCTGCAGTTCACTGCTTGCTCTCTTCCCATGCATTGTATGATGAAAATTGCTTGTTTAGATGTTTTCTATCACCCCTTAAATTTTTGTCCATGAGTTTTGAAACACCCTGTATAATTGATTTCAGACTGTTAGATCTTTTTTCTTCATTTTATGATTGAAGTGAAGACAAGAGCTTATAAAAACTTTTTACATTCTTAAGTACAGTAAAGAATTGTTTCATTCATTTTGTTTAAAATGTTATAGTCTAAATGTCTCTAATACTTAGAATACAAAGTCCATTGACAGTAACTATTATTAATGCATTTATGTTGCAGAAATTATTCCAGAACAATATTGAGCATTTTAAAATAGGCATTTTGGCACTGTTGATTAATGAACTATGGATTAGGCATAACATTATACACAATGTTGCCACTTAACTTTTTTTTAGTTTATTTTCAAGATAGATGAATATACTGTTATAAATTTGGCTCAATGAAAGTAAAAAATATTTAAATTTAATGCAATGGTAAGTAAAATTAATTAAAAATATGGAAATATTACTACATTATCACAGACGTCTAACAATTTCTTTACTATAATGGATTTGAAAATAGTTAAACAATAGTTATTTCAATAGAATTTAATAGTAGTCACATTGCTAATATTAACTGTTATTGTATAGATAATCAGTTATTGACTTCAGTGTGTTCAGTGGTATTTTAATATGTTAATATTTTTGAAGTTTGCAACCTACACCTAAGCTATAGCAGATTTTATACAAGGAAAACGTCACAATTTTTAAAATTTTACAGCATAAGCTATTGAAACTTTTTAAGCTTAAATATGGCATATG